CATATATATACTATTTATAAAAAACATATAACTATAAATTCAAAAATTGTTATAATTCTGATTTTGAAAGAGCAATATTAATATACAATATAGAACAGAATATACAATAAATACTGAATGTATATTTGCACATTTTAATATATATAGCCAAATACAGTAAAACTTCCAGTATTGCAGTTTGCATGGATTAATGGAAAAGCCGTACCTGACGATGCCGGCTGCTTTCCCATGAGCTCTTGCTTGAGCGTAAAGGTTTCGTGCCACTGTCTTCTCCTTCACTGAGCCGACGAATGTGATCCCGTTGACATTCCTGAAAAGCAGCCACCTGTCATTCAGGCATTCCATGTGTTTGTATGGGTATGTGTGTCAGTGTTAATGCTCTCACATGGTGAAGTTGTTAATGAAAGCCTGTTTGGGAATCTGCACGTTGAAGCCGATGCTCTGGGCTTTGGGGCCTGAGTTGAACACAGAGCTCTTGACTGTGGTGTGAGCGAACCGCGACGTGATTCTGCTCTCCACCTTATAGCTCTTAACTGTGATGTCCTCACCCTGAATTGCCTGCATACAAACACAAACACAAAACATGAATCAAACTATAAACATTAAATAAACAAAAACTGCCTTCAATTTTTAAGTACAATTAACTTGGATGTTTAAGTCAATTCAACTTAAATTACATTAAACTGACTTTTAAAAAAAATGAGCTGAATCTTGTATAACTTATAAAAAAAGTAGAAAATTGCTTAACCTTCACATCAAGGATGGTAAATATGATAAAAAATATATTTCTAAAAATTGTTCTAAATATGTAAAAGAATAGTAGAGTCCAAACCACTATGACAACACCGTCACAGAACAATATTTTAGTCACTTTCAAAATGATTATTTCCAGCTAAAGAATGATAAAAACATTGACAGCTAATCAGCAGCAGACAACAGAACGATGGATGGGTGGTGGTGGGTGGATGGATGGATGGATTACAGTTACTTCTGTCTAGAACAATTCTAAATAAAACATTAGTGGATTTAACATCAACATTTCATGTTTTTAATATATGTTTTAATGTAACCTTCTCCCTTTAAATACTTTGGTCAGTTCAAGAATAATTTATGCAATTTTATATTGTTTATTTGATATGGTATTTAGGAAGTAATTAAATACTTTTTAGAGAGTTTAATTAGCCTAGTACTAGTAGGCTAGTGTAATTAGTAGCTAGTAATTAATTACTTTTTTAGAGTAACCTGAACCAACACCGATGGAAACCAAAGAAATAACTATATGTAGAAACAGACTCAAACTAATCTGGAGAAAAAAAAATGTCTCCAGCAGAAGTAGAACAGCAGCAGAGGGGAAGTCAATAACCGTAGTGTCTTTAAACAAATCGATTAGTAGATAAGATTAAAGTGGAACAACAAGAGCATGATTACCTCAAAATCCTCTTCTTCACTGGTCAAAACGTTTCTCTACACACACACACACACACACACAAAAAGAGAAAAATGGGAGCATGTTGTATAAATGTTTATAATTTTTTTTTACAGTATTCAAATGATATGTTGATAAAAATGTTATACCAGGATAAAAATAGAGCAGACATAAATTCAATATAGACTATAAACAATAGGATCTGAAATCTTTTTTTTTCCTAACAAATGGCCAAATGAACGGAAAATATTAAAATAAAAGAAAAAGTATATAAATGTATATAACTTTTGCAATTTTTGCAACTGTGTTACTGACATTTGAGGCATGTGTAAATGTAAATATGTATATAAGTTAATTCCTTTTAATTTGATTTTTTTTTTACATTTTCCAAATAAAATCTAACTTAATTTGTATATATATATATATATATATATATAAACAGTTGCGTGACATCTGACACAAGCGCATGGACTGGTGGACTCTTTGATCAATGGTAATCAATGAAGGCCTCAATGACACCGTCATCACATTAAAACATCTCAAAAATTGCTTGAACATCTTGAAAACAAGTGCATAAATTATTATAATAAAGATATTCTGCAGTATATTAGAGTGCATTTTTATTCAGAATCCTCCTTTGAACATTTTCAATTTCATATTGAGGCTGAATATGAAAACTTACCCTGTATCTCCCAGACTGATCCAGAGGACCTGACTAACAAAATAACACACAATACAGCTTTCAATTTAGAAACACATTCAATCTACTGACATAAACACGCATGCAAATCAATTTGCCTCTTTTTCTCACACTTTTCTCTTTCCGTCTTACCGTTTCACTTTCCCACTCCCCATCGATGATAAACTCGAAAGCCCAGCTCTGAGAAAAGAGCAGGACGCACAGAAGAACTGGAGTCTTCATGGAACTAGAGAAAAGTCCTCTTAACACACAACAAAATGTCCAGCACAAGCCACACACATACACACACGCTGACTGAGGCTCAATGATCAGCCTCTGCAGTCTCGGAGACCTCTGAGCCTCGTCAATATTTGTTGTGTCCCAAATATCCCAAAAAACCCGAAGGCAGGAACCTTTGAAACCTGACCAGCAGATGCACAAACACAATCCCTGGAATGGAATGGCACATTTCACACCCTTTTGTTCATATGATGTGAGAGAATTATTGTTATTTTGGACATTAACATTTTTTTAGTTTCTTATATATATATATATATATATATATATATATATATATATTTTATCTGATTTATCTGAAAAACATTTTTTTATCTTAATCGATTTGTATATATATATATATATATATATGCTGTCAAATCGATTAATCGCATCTAACATAAACGTTTGTAAATATTTCGTATTTTGTATGATGCGACATTCAAACATTTTTAACTGTGGCTTATAAGTGTCCAAATATACTTATTGAGGTCCTGTATGTCAGATGACATTTTTATAATATATTGTAATATATATATATATATATATATATATATACACACACACACATATACTATGTTAGGCGCGATTAATCGATTAGATTAATCATGATTAATCGATTTGACAGCACTTATATATATACAGCATATATATTTAAATAAATAAATACAAATCCATCACTGTAGTATGCTTTATTTTTTAAAAATATTGTCTCTGTATGTGAATAATAATATTGTGTCAATGACTATTATGAATGAATATATGCATTTTCAAATCAAATGAATGATTAAATCAATCGGTCAATCAATCAATTGATACTCTTTCTTGTCTTTTTCTTTGAATTTATGATGAAAGATGACCAGGATATATGTTTTTGTGAGAGTGACCCTCATAACTCCGTCAGATAAAAAATGATTAAAGGCATACAGGTCAATTCAAGAGTTAATTAGTTAATATTACCCTGATTATTGCCCAATCTCTTGCAACTCTGTGGTTGCTCTAGGCAAAGGGTTATTCCCTTTCGGTCTGATATTTCTTAAACACCACTTTGTGTGTTCCCACATTCCTACACCATATTTGCATTTATATGGTCATCTGTGACCTCGATAAGTATATTTGGACACTTATAAGCCACTGTTAAAAATGTCTGAATGTCGCATCATATCCAACATACTAAACAAAGTGGTATTTATTGTAAAGAAAGACAGCACAAGCACACTTTTTAAGCAAAACGTAAAAAAAAGAAGCTTGTTAAATTTGAACTGATCAACCAATATGTAAAATCATTTTTGATATTATGCAATGAAGCTTAGGACTGCCAACTTTAAAGCGATTTTATTATTATGATCGAATCTTTTCGAATTGTTATCGAATCGAATTATTTTGATCGTATGAATTTATGAAATACCACCAAATGAGTAAAACATGATCAATTATACATTAATTCAAATATGCAGGCTTATATCATATTTTGAGGCACCAATACCTAAATCCTACAAAGAGAAAGATAATTTTTTGTAAAAGTAATAGTGAGTCCCGTATGCTCTCTTTGGGTCATTTTGACCTGAAATTAATTTTCTTTTCATTTTTAAAAATTGACTGTTCATCGGAATGGTTCAACACCAAAGGGCTTTTGTCGCCATTGAACTTGGAATACACACAATCTTTTTTTTTTACTGGATTCGAGGAGTTTATGTGGTTGTAATAAAAACAGTAACACATCCTTCCCTTGAGGGGTCAATTTGACCCCCATAGGAATGAATGGGAAATGGTGAATTTTTTTTACATTTGTAAAAAAAAAATAAAGTACAATTTAGAACAAACACACACACGCACGAATGAAAGCATGAGACTATAGAACACCCCCGATGCAGAACACACACACACACACCTAGGAATATAATGGAGGCAATGTTGTTGTTGTTGTTGTTTTTCAAATAAAAATTAGTCACAATGCAGACCGCACACAGATATGAAGTGGTTAGATTTTAACACATTTACAATGCAGAACAATATTTGCTCCATAGAGCTATAAAGCCATCTAGTGGCAAGAGTCATGAAACATCATGTTATATATATATTTTCCACACGAGGTCGGGAGAGACACCCAATGTGAAACTTTTTGATCTGTTTTAACAAGTTTTTGCATGTAATGGAGTTATTTTGTATTTAAGTAAAAGAATGTGAAGATTGTGTTATATAATTCAATTTACACTTAAATTAGAAATATATATATATATATATATATATATATATATCTCCAAGAACTGCATTAAAAATAGGAAAAAATATAACAATCAAATGATAAAAAAATGAATAAATATTATTTTTGTGCTTCGGGAGGAGAGCATAAGGGTTGATTGCATTAACACACTCAAGTCAAAAGTCTGTTTTGTTCTTTTTTAGCCTATGACATGAAATATATTGATTATGGATACCCAATAAAGACCAATGTGGAACTGCAAAAAAGTGCATTGAAATTATTGATAACCTTGCCAGCTCTTTTACCCAGTTTAGGCAAGGCTATATTGACCAATGTGCCCAGAAGAGCCCTAAAACTATAGTATAGAGGCCAATCTCATGTTTCACAGACAAATGAGTGAGAATGTCGCAAGTGTCTAGACACCAAAAACACTAGAGCTCCCTCCCAAACACTTCACTACACTGTCTTCGGATGGGTGGGTTGCAATAACCGCCCCGATCACACTCCAGGACCACTGAGGAACACACTCGACACACTCCAGAGACCAGCCAGTGCTATTGGAATAAGATGCTGCTCATAGTCCTCGTCTTGTATTTGTGTCCGGTTTTTCAGTGCCAAACTGAGGATACTGACTTTTCAGAGGATGTTGACTTTGAAGAAGTATACATGACTTCTGACATGGATTCAAATGCTGCAGTATGTTTTTTTCTTGCATTTCATATATGAAAACATCGTCAATCATATCTAGGATCTCACCATTCTTATGTTTGTCTTCAGGCTCCTCTCAGAATCCCGCGGCAGGTGAAAATGCTACTATCTAAGGTAAATGCGCGCGACACCTGTTTTTAAAGCTTTGTGAGACTGTTAAATAGACATTTTGATTTAGGAAATATTGAATTTACGTCTGCCATTAATATATTAAGGCAACATAGCAACTCTCAATGCTTTATTCAGGGGCGCGCTGTTTGTTTGCTCTTCAGCGGCTGACCGTGTTGTAACACTTTTTTCAACGTCTATAACTTTGTAGTTTTTTCCCCCCACCCATCTGTTTCAGACTTTGTATTTTATATTGTATTCCCATATGTGTCTGCTATAAAGGAGAGTAGCTTAGAAATCAACAACTTATCTGTATAGTGAACTATCGTCGTCTCGTCTTCAAAGAGTGCAGTTGTTACAAACTACAACCGGAGTAAAAAGTAACAGGTGGAAACCAAGGACAGTTTCATTTGTTCAAAACAGAAAATACTATTTAATCACTCTCACAATTGTGTGGGCCTGCCCTATACATTGTCCCATTCTGTTCAATCTTTCCATTATGCACATTAAAAGTGTTACAATCCATGCACTCTAGAAGAAATGTTGGGTTGTTACAACCCATGTTTGAGTCAAATTTGGCAAAACCCAACCTTTGTTTAAAAAAAAAAAAAAAAAACCATTTTAAACCTTAGGTTAGGTTTGTCCATATTTGACCCAACATGGGTTGAAACAACCCAGCATTTTTTAGAGTGTAATTTTACCATTTTAACATGTAGGTAGGATACAGTAGATACAAAGTTTACATACCATATAGGCCTATCAAATTAAACAAAAGGGTGATTCGGATGATACCAGGTCTTTTAACGTTTATGATGATCAAAAAATAAATCAGGGCAAATTGTTACATTTTTTATTGGGGGAAGTTGTTACATGAGTTTTTAAATGTTATAAATGTATACAAATTAATGTGTTGGCCCAAACAATGATTTAATGTTTATGTAGGCCTATCTTACCTTTTACATTTTGCTGTTTCGTCAATTCTTTGACCGATGTTTAAATTTGGCTGAAAAGCCTAAACTGTTCAATGAAAGGTTATATTGTGATAACTTAATAGTGTGATTACATGCTTCACTGTTTTCTGAACCACAGTTTACTTCCGTTTTATCAACAATAATTGGTATTTTGGCAGAAACTATATGGGACATGTTTTTTAAGGACATAACCCAACAATTATTTGGAAATCGGCCCAGATCTTTAGTCAAATCTCTTGGCCACATCACTCATGTTTTCAGAGCAACTATTCTAAATATTCATCTAGGCTATATTTTAATGATGCTCATAACGTGCTGTCCTCTGCCAGGAAACTAAACCTCACATTCAGGAGCTGTCGGTCCAGACCACCATCATTTCCCGCTATGCCTTCACTGCGGTGTCCTGTAGCATGCTTAACAGACACTCAGCTGCCACTCAGGGCGTCTTTCAGTTCCACATTCCCACTGCTGCATACATCTCCAACTTTACCATGTAAGTGTGGAAATACATACATCATTGAAAAATACCATAACTATTTGATTTCTAGTAATTGAAATGTCTCTTGTGGGTCACTCAAAGAAAATGGCACCACTATGTGTGTCCCCATTCTGGCTTGATCTGACATTATTTTAAAAATTGCTTAGACCATAAACATTCTTTTTAATTATGACCCTGAGAATGACTCTGGTTATCTAGAAGGTCTATTCACTTGGATAATACACTAAAGTTTGCTATTGGAACTGGGCTGTTAATTGGTGGTCATTGACCCCAGTCTCCAAAGAAAGTCCAGAGAGGTTATTGAAGGGCCTGAGAGAGTTTAGACTATGATTAACAACAAGAAAGATTTATATGCCTATTGCCACAACTTCTTGTTCCATGGCACTAATAAAAAGTCTCATTTCATGCTGTTGGTATATGGTGGCAAAAGGATTGTGGGAGGACGAATCTTTCCCAGCCAGGTGAAAGCAAAGGAGAAGAAGATGAAGAAGGAAGGAGGAGAAAACAATGGGAAGAAAAACAAGGACACACCAGAGCAGAGGTGAAGATAGCGCACAAACTTCAAATGTCTGTGCCATTAAACTGGATGTGCTGTGATTCATATAGTTAAAACATGCCTGGTGTTTAACTAACCTGGGCTGCGTTTCCCAAAAGCATCGTAAGCCTAAGTTGATTGTAAAGACCAATGGTGGCAATTGTTCTACGATCAACAAAATGCAGCCCTGCTCAGCAAGATTCTCTTTAAACGGTGGCTCCATCACAACAGTTGTACTGAAAAGAGTAATGTGGCAAGACAGTATGCTTACTTGCTATAGCACCCCTTGTGGCTAAGTCTGAGAATGCAATGTGTACTTTCATTACATTATTAATCATACAATATGTACAAGAAGCAATGCAATGTTTATTATTCAAATTCTTACATGTGTATTTCACTTGCTTGTGAGTGAATGAGAAATATGACTGAGAAATCTGAGATATATTCCCCCCAAAAAATCGTAATGTGGTTTGGCAAACCTCGTGACAGATTCCTTTGGCAAGAAGTTCACATTTCCAGAGTAATGATTTCCTCTCTCCCTGTTAGTGAGGGTGAGATGGAGTTGTTTCGAATGGAGGTCACTATTCCTGGACGCAACCGTGCTGTGTTCTTCCTGATCTACGAAGAGCTGCTGCAGAGACGATTGGGCCGCTACGAGCATGTGACCAGTGTTAGGCCAATGCAATTGGTCAGCAGACTCAGCGTGGGCGTTACTATTGTAGAGCATTCCCGTATCACTTATCTTGAAGTATTACCCCTACGAAATGGCAAAACTCCATCTTCCAATGGCATTGGGAAACCAAATGGTAAACAGCTGCATCCAATTTGATACTTGAGTTTGTATTTAGATGTGCTGTCACTGGTATGGATTATTAAAATATTTGACAACATTGCAAAATTTTGCCTCAAGAACTGCAATATAGATGGCACAAGTTCCAGTTTTTCCACTTTTCAGCGTTAAATCTTTAATAAAGATTTTTTGACAGGTTGTTAATGTGAAATAGTGCATGATTTATTTACCATTGTTTACATCTTGTTCTGCCCCAGGTAAAGTAGGACCACCAGTTTCCACAGTAGTCAAACAAAATGAATCCATTTGCAAGATCAGCTTCACTCCCAACATCGCCCAGCAAGCCAAAATTGCCACCAATGGCATGCTGGGAGAATTTGTGGTGCGCTTTGATGTAGAGAGAGAAAATGGCATCGGCGATATACAGGTACACATGCACACAATATTTCTATATTATTTACAGATATTTACATGCAGTTCCATAGAAAAGCATTACTTAAATTAGAAATAGTATATTTTTTCTTGCTATTTTACTTATAGATAAGCTGCAGTGCATAAAAAAACTTATTATGCTGTACATTCTGGTGGATTACAATAAAATAATATAAAACAAAAAAGATTAAATGTAATTATATTATATTAATATATGTATAACATTACAAAAAATATACACTCACCGACCCCTTTGGTTGGACCCCTTTTTGGCTTCAGAACTGCCTTAATTCTTCATGGCATAGATTCAACAAGGTGCTGGAAACATTCCTCAGAGATTTTGGTCCATATTGACATGATAGCATCACGCAGTTGGCGTTACACGACAACGATGTACTAAAAACTGGAAAGTTGTTCCTTTGGATTTCGCATACAGGCGACAATGTTGTCAAAATGAGCCCCGTTCACAAGGATCCGTGAAAACGTTTAAAACGCTGTATTACTCATGCCAGGCCAGTAGTTGGTGATGTCACTTTGTAAAGAAAAATTATGCACCTATAGACTAAACACATCACCATTTTCACAAAATTTGCGTTTTTGTAGTTTACACAGAGAATTTAAAACCAGTTTTCAAAAGTTGCTTTTTCAGGCCCCCAAAACGATGTTATGTAAATGAACAGCCAAAACTCCAACCAAAGCATTCCGTTTTTTAGTTGAAAATGGTGTCGTGTAAACAACTGTCATGTGATTGGCTGATCAGGTATTTGCGTTAACCAGCAGTTGAACAAGTGAACCTAATAAGTTGCTTAAAAGTGTACTTTTATTATTTGATTTATTATCTTTATCCATGCAGTGTCAGTGATTTCCATTAGTATTTTTTTTTTGCCATTTTATTTTGTTACGCCTTTTCTTCTCTCCCAACATTTTTTAATTCAGAAGTCACTAAAAACTTTAAACTCCTCCCGTTCACTGAGCTCATTGCTTGCTTGTCCACACACACACACATTACAAAGATTGAAAGCCTGTAAAAGTATCTGCTCTCTTTCAGGTGCTAGATGGACATTTTGTGCACTATTTTGCTCCCAGAGACCTGCCTGTCGTGCCAAAGAATGTTGTATTTGTGATTGATACTAGCGCCTCCATGGTTGGAACCAAAATCAGACAGGTAACATACTCTGTCGTCGACACAGATTGAAGCAATCAGTTCTCCACACTGAGAAGAATTTATATTCAGCATTTCAGTTTTCAGAGTTGCAGTGTGCCGTTCCCTCAAAGAGGGAATGATATTGTGCCACTTTTTTTTTTCTTCTTCTCCCAGCTGGTTCTTGTGATCTCATAGTTGGAAACACAGATACACACACCCATCTCATAGCAAAATGACAGAGTTCAACAGTTCTCTTTTTAATATCTTTCACGTAGACCAAAGAAGCCCTGTTTACGATCCTACGCGAGTTGCGGCCCAACGATCACTTCAATTTTGTCACTTTTTCCAATCGCATCCGTGTGTGGCAGCCGGGCAAACTGGTGCCCGTCACACCCAACAATATACGTGATGCCAAGAAGTTCATCTACATGATCTCACCCACTGGAGGTAGAGAATCTTACACACTCCTAAACACTCCCTGTTACAGATTTAAACAACATTGATCTCATGTAAATAATTTAAAGGAACAGTCCACCTAAAAATATGACATCATCATTGTTGTTTTTGTATAAATATCATTTAAAAACTCAAACTAAAGGAAAATGTTGATATGAATTTGTTTAAGTCGAAATACTAAAATTACTAAAACTTACAAATAAAACTTTCTCTTTTATTTAAACCTCCTCAGGCACTGACATCAACGGTGGAATTCTGACAGGCTCGGCATTGCTCAGTGACTACTTGTCCAGCAAAGAAGAGTCCCATCACAACAGCGTGTCGCTCATCATCTTCCTGACCGATGGGCGACCCACAGTGGGCATAGTTCAGAGTCCAACCATCATTGGCAACACCAAAGCAGCAGTGCAGGAGAAGTTCTGCCTCTTCACTATTGGGATGGGTGATGATGTGGACTACAGGCTCCTGGAGAGGATGTCCCTGGAAAACTGTGGAACCATGAGGAGAATCCCAGAGGACGCAGACGCCAGCGTCATGCTCAAAGGGTGAGGAACATGTGGTCACCACCATTAACGACATTTGTGAACTAATCTAATTAAAGCGTAAGTTCAGGCAAAAATACAAATGTTGTCATCATTTACTCACCCTCATGTTGTTCTAAACCCATAAGACTTTCTTCTGAGGAACAAAATTGGCATGTCAGGATCAGTTGTGACACACAACAATTGATTCCACCAATGACATCAAACTTGGCGCACCCTATTTGAATACATACAGTACGCAAGCGCAAATGAGATTTGAGAAATAAAAATGCATGTAAAATAAACCCCTCTGAATCAGGATCCAGATTTATTTTGTGATAATGACCAGCTGACTTCATATCATCCCTTACTTTGCTGTAGCTAACATGAACAAACAATAAACAAAACTTTTACAGCATTTATAAATCTTGGTTAATTACTACATTAATGCACATTTCAATTGGTTTAACTTAAGTTAATGGATTATGAATGAGCATGATTAAACAATGAACAATCTATTTCATTAACATTATTAACATCATAGAAGATTTATAAATGCTGTAAATGCTTTTGTTAATTCCTAATGCATTAACTGTTGGTAAAAATTAAACCTTATTTTAAAGTGTTAATAATAGATGATCTGATTAAAGCCTAAAGGAATCTTACAATCTTTGCTATGCACAAGGCAAAACAACGGTACATAGTTCAACACAATGGTGCATAGAAGTAAAAAGTGCCACTAATGCTAACAAAATAACACAAAACATGAAACAAAACAAGGAGATGTTTTCTTACCACCCTAGAAACCATCTAGCAACACCCTATCAACCTCTCTACTAAAAACCTCTACTAACCTCAACTAAAATTTTAAAACAACATTAAAATGATCACTCGCCAAGCGCCAAATGCAAGTAATTTATTATATATTATTTTAAGCGTTGGCGTGTATATGAAACGGTGTCAATCGGCAACTGGCCGGTAATATTTTTATGAATTCTAGCAATGCAGTGTTGTGAGAACATGGACGTGAACAAACGTGAATAACGCGTGGGATAGTTGACGGGCCAGCTCCTCATTATTATGAAAGTTTAAGCCAATTTAAATATTTTAGCGCAAGAAGACGCAAAAGGGAACTCAATTCGTTACTCGCTGAGTGGGACGTTTTCTGTGCGCAAACATCTGAAGCGCGTTCCCAGAAGTCTGTGTCTCAGACAGTGCGAATACTTAATTGAACTCTCTTTCACGTCTTCTTGCGCTTTAAAATGCCCGTATTGGCAAGTATTCTCGTAAGCATAGTCAGTTATGTCTTAAAGGGATAGTTCACCCAAAAATGAGTACTTTGTTTGCGAAAAACACACGCTTTACCACTTTATTTACAAAATATTAATCTCCAATTTCCAAATTCACACAACGTCTGCTCTTGCGTCAACACAACGGGCATCTGTCGTGGTGCTTTCGTGAATGTGCGATGGAGATTAATATTTTGTAAATAAAGTGGTAAAGCGTGTGTTTTTTTCGCAAACAAAGTACTTGCGTTGTTTCATGAAATTGAGGTTAAACCACTGGAGTCACATGGATTATATAATGATGTCTTTACTACCTTTCTGGGGCTTGAAGGTGGTAGTTGCATAGACTGTCAATGGACCCACAGAAAGTTCTCAGATTTCATTAAAAAGGTCTTCATTTGTGTTCCGAAGATGAACGAAGGTCTTACAGGTTTGGAACGACATGAGGCTGAGAAATTAATGACAGAATTTTTATTTTTGGGTGAACTAACCCTTTAAATGAACAAACAGTTGAGAGAGAAATCACATGTGTATCAGTATATTGGATCCATACATTAGGTCTTAAAGTGACAGCAGCCTAATATAAGCCTGCTGCCGTCTGTCCATAATGTTAATTAAACAACTAAAGACAAAGAAAAAACACTCACTGCTCTTGACTGAACTTTTGTAACTTAATAAAGATTAATCTATGTTTAATTTATACAGTTACATTGGATTACTTTATTACATTTCTGTAACTGAAAATTGTGTATTTTCATTGGTATCTAAAAATTTGTTGTCATAGCTGCCTGTTTTTGCAAAAACAGTTTCATGGCTGGGAAAAAAATATTTATGGGCGCATTTGCCGGTAAATTTTCACTGGTCACTGGCCATTGGCAGGTGTAGCAAAAAAGTTAGTTTTAGGCCCTGCTTGCAACCATTAATATTATGGGGCAAGTATGTTGTGTGGTGTTTTGTGACAAAAAGCCCCACTTAAAGTCCAGGTTAAAGGTCAAAGGTTACATGAGATGCCATTAGGAGTCAGAAATCTTTACACAAGGCTCAACAATGGGCCCCACTCTAAAAGCTTAACAAGTTTAACGTAACAAATACATGACTTATTAACCCACAATCTGAAGCAACACTATGGCATTTTGACCCTATTATTCCTTTCCACCTCTCCTTTCTCTCATCTACTAACTCTCTATAGCTTCTACGATGAGATTGGCACTCCGCTGTTATCCGACATCCGGGTGGAATACTCCGAGGATGCTGTGGAATACATCACCCAGAACCTTTTCACAAACTACTTCAACGGCTCTGAGCTCGTTGTGGCCGGAAAACTGACCAATCGCAGCGCAGACTCGCTGCACGTTCAGGTGACCGCCAGCAACAGCGAGAAGAGCATCGTGCTGGAGAAAGACGTGTCACTACACGAGCGAGAACAGGAAACCGAACGGCGGCTAGCGGAAGCAAAGGTGGGTCCGAACGCGGACGGTTATGTGGAGCGACTGTGGGGATATCTGAGTGTTAAAGACGGGCTAAAAGGACGACTGCGAAGCCAGGCGAGCGGAGAGCGGGAAAACTACACGCAACACGCTACAAATCTTTCGTTAAAGTATAATTTCCTCACGCCGCTCACGCAAATAATAGTGGAGAAACCACAAGTGCTGGCCGATGGAACTTTAGCACAGACAGAGGTGGAGGCCACAGAGGCTCCGCCCCCTCCTGAGTCGTCCAATCAGCTGTCAGAAGACGACAACAGTCTAACACCCCAGAGCCTGCACAGAAATGAACCACCCAAGCCGATTTCTGCAGTCGCCAAAGCAACAAGTGTGTTTATTTAAATTGGACAGCAAGCAAAACATTTGTTTTAGATCAGATTTAGGGTCATTATGATTGCCATTACACAATCGGTCTTGAAAATATTAAGGTGACTCAAACAATCCATGACGATTTCACTGTTTTCCATTTATCTCCAGGTGGCGTCAGCAAACCCGCCAAAAAGTCTGTCACCATATCCAAAACATCCGGTATTTCTCCATTTTTCTACATCTGCTTTGCATTTCAGTGTGAATGTGTGTGAGTGTAGTTGAAAGTCTGTTCACTTGGACTGTGCGGCTTGTAATTTGTTGCGTTCAGGTAAAGTGGCCTCATCAAAGCGCATTTAATTGCTACTGAGAGTTGTGTACGGGCTCTAATTCACATGCCTGTGTTTGATGGGCTGATGGGAAAAAAAGGCAAACCCCTAAGTATTTAACTTCAGGGTGTAACTCGCTCTTCACTCTTCGTACTATGGATACATGCATTTATACTCAATAAATGCATAAATCTGAAAGCTTTGAAAAGCCACTTTTCTGTTGGCGTGATTTGTGATCTCATATAAAATGTTGCATACTTAAAAATGAGAGAATTCACAGGGGTTGTTTGGGTTGCACATAACCAACAAGCTTGCATAATTTGATTTATTTTCATGCAACAATCCCAAGTCAATAATGGGGGTGGGGTGGGATCATATATTTATACAATGTTCTACAAATGGTCCATTTTCAAGTCAAAATGTTTTCTGTGAAGGTGATTTCACCAAATGCAACATGTTCCTGGATAAACATCTTTGTTGATCCTGGAACAGCATTTGAATAACCAATCAAATTTGAGGGACAAGTTTATTGTTTATATCAAGATTAGGGTTAGAACCAGGGTGAGGTTCTTCTACATCAGTGGTATTCACGTATCATTCCTCTCTGATTTTAGGGATAACTTATGGGTAGGGTTAGGTTTAGGGTTAGGACTAAATTTTCAGACAGGAATGTCGTTCCAAGAACATGTCTTACTTGGCAAAATCACGGTGACCCTCCTACATCATCTTCTTATCTGTCTTTAGCTGATGGCGACCCTCATTTTGTGGTGGAGATTCCTCAAAGTAAACTGACTGTGTGTTTCAACATTAATGGGGAGCCAGGACACATCCTGCGACTGGTGACTGACCATAAACACTCAGGTAAACAACAAAACTATACTAAGAGTTGTGTTTTTTTTTTTTTAAGTATTGGAAGTATTTGTTTAAGTGAGCTTTGCATTCTTGCCAATTCTTGGCCAAATAAATATTCAATATTTAATATCTATAGTTATAATAAAAATAATTAATATTAAAAATGTAATTTATATTTTATATGTATAATATTTTTATTAATATGTAATAATTATAGTTATTGTTTAAAAATGTAACCCATACATGCATAACAATAGATAAAAATATAAATATTTGTATAAAATAAATAAAAATTGGCTAGGGTAGAAATAATAATAATAATTATTATTAATAATTTTCTTTGGCTTCAGTACAATGACAATATCCAATTGAATTATTTAATTTTGCTTAATTACTTCAGTGGGCCATATATCACTGTGGTTTGATTTGTTCATGTTGCTTGTGTTAGATTTATACAAAAAATCAATATTTTATAAAGATTCAGGGGTCATTTACACTACACTGTTTTCAACTTAAAACTTTTTATGCATTTTGGCCATTCATTTGCACGAAAATAGCTTTTGGGGGCCAGAAAAGCAAACTTTTGAAGGCGGGTTTCAAAATGCAACGAGAATTTGTGAAAATGGTGACGTCATGCGCATGTGTATTACGTGTTCAATTTATAAAACCTTAAAAATGTACATATTTTGTCTCCAATAGGCGTGACTGTGAACGGTGCGCTGATTGGTGCTCCAGCCCCAGCCGGCAGTCATAAAGAACAAAGGACATATTTCAACAGCATAACTATAGTAGCCAATAAGCCGAGGCGCTCCTACATTGAGGTGACCCCACAAAAGGTCATACTGGACGACCGTGACCGAATGATCCTTCCATCCAGCTCCAGCATTTCAGTTGAAACCACCAACCTGGCTGTGGTCCTTATTGCTAACACAAACCTGACTGTAACCATCCAAGGAAATATCCAATTTGTCATCTTATTCCACCATTACAAAAATCCAGCGCCCTATCAGCGAGATCACCTGGGATTTTACATCGCTAACAGCAAAGGATTGAGCAAGGATACACACGGGTTGTTAGGTAAGCACGCATACACATTGTTGTCAAACTTAGTGAGCTATCTTTCTGCCTAGGCAAGGTGGTTAACTGGTGTCTCAGCCTGGCCATGCTGTTATACTGGTTTTAGAGGGGGTTTTAGGACTTGTCATCTTCTGTTGCACTATTGATTCCATTAAAGTTTGATGTTAGCATGTTGCTAAGCTAACATTGTGATACTCTAAAGACATAGTATACCAAATAAAATGGTCAATTGGAATGAGTCAACATTTTTTGTTGCTACTTTTTAGTACTGAATTTAAAAAACTTAATCCAAGATGGCCGACAAAGTGAGAGAAATGTGGCCTATAAATATACTTTATTTATAGGGCGCATTTCTCTCACTTTGTCGGCCATCTTAGATTAACTTTCTCATTGAGTTTGTAGCAGTGAATTCTGGTTTGGCTTTTCCCACAAAGGATACATGTGTTGCTGCCTTGCACTCACATTTACCGTTGCTCTGCAAAATCTTGTGTCTGAAATCCAGTCATTTCAATAGGAAACCTTGCGATCAGAAGTTTTGGGTGAAAAACGTCCTTTCTCGCTGAAATTTTGCTAATGTGACTAGGATTTGTGTCACTAGGTTTTGGAACAGAGCTACAAATGCAAAGAGATTGTATGCATACTAAAAGAGAGAAATATTTCTGTACTTACAGGCCAGTTCCTGTATGAAGAGATTGGATTGACACAGCTTCCTGGAAATTTCAGCATGGCCGGAGAAAACATCACACGGGAAACACAAGGGGAAAATATCACTCTACACAATTACCCCGCACTAAAGGTGAAGGATCGTACTGTCGCCGTCATAAAGAAGTGCAGACGAATCTACTCTGGAAAGCAGACCGTAGACTGCTGGTTTGCCAAAAACAATGCGGCCAAACTGATCGATGGACAATACGCAGATTATGTTGTGTCACATCTGTTTGACATAGGAGACTGGGTTAATGGAACCAACACACACTGAGACACACACACAGAGAGAGAGAGAATATGATAGGAATATACTTACACAAACAGTTTAAAAACCATCACAAAGATCCAAAAGCAGTATTTTAAGTACATGATTTATATTCAGTGATGATGTGTGGACATACTACTTCACTATTTTTATTGTAGTCATCTACAAATATATACGGTATATTTTTAGTTAAAATAATAAAGTTTTTGGAACTTAATTTTGTACTAATAAATTAAATGTTAAAGGGATACTCAACTTTTTTTTGGGAAATAGGCTCATTTTACAACTCCCCCAGAGTTAAACTGTTGAGTTTTACCGTTTTTGAATCCATTCAGCCGATCTCCGGTTCTGGCGGTACCACTTTTAGCATAGCTTAGCATACATCATTGAAGTGGACAAGACCATTAGCATTTCTCAAAAAAAAAAAAGACCAAAGAGTTTCGATATTTTTCCTATTTAAAACTTGACTCTTCTGTTACATCGTGCACTAAGACCGACGGAAAATGTAAAGTTGCGATTTTCTAGGCTGATATGGCTAGGAACTATACTCTCATTCCTGCGTAATAATCAAGAAACTTCACTGGCGTAATGGTATGACTCAGCGCCTGAAAATAGTTCCATTGTGTTGACAGAAGGTAGCCTATTTTCAGGCGCTGCGTCATATCATTACGCCTGCTGCACTCATGGTACGGCAGTAAAGTTTCTTGATTAACTCTGGGGGAGTTGTAAAATGAACCTATTTCCAAAAAAAAGTGGAGTATCCCTTTAACAATAGACTGTCTTCTTTTAGGTAAAGAGCTAGGTTGCAGAAGTGAGAATCTCCATAGAGAAACTGATTTTTACTGACAAGAAAAAACTACCTCTGAGATTATGATATACAGTATGTTTCTAATTTTGACGTCATATAACAAAGCATTTTATTGTTGAATTGTCTTTGAAGTACTACACTACCCATAATCCTTAAATGAGATCCACCAATCAGAGACAACACTGTTATAAAAGAGGTAATCACAGCAATATAACTCAATAGCAACCGTCCAGTGCACAGACAGACAGACAGACGATGGATGGATACGTTTTATTTATTTATTTGGCTATTATATTTGATTTGGTGAAAGAAACAATTGTCATCAGTTAAAGAAATAAAGTAACGTAAAAAATACTAATTATTTGGGATGCACTACATATTGGTACCATACTGGTTATCGGCTAATATTAGTGATTTGACATGGCTTCAGTTTAAATAAAGTAGCATTGAAAAATGAAATAGTCATTGAAATCTAATAGGATGAATACTTCCAGAACCATGACTACATAAAAAGTGGGCAATTGTGCCACTCTATTAATGAGAAAGAAATGTTAAACAAACCACAAGTGGATTTTTTACCCATTACAGCTGAGAAACCTTTTTTCTTATTTCTGGTTGAGTATGACCTGTTTCGCCCCTGTCATCAGACTGGGGTCAAATGGTTGCTGGACCCACCCCTTCCAGGTGTTCTTACCTAAGTTTGCTTAACTCTTAGAGCCCCCTTGTCACACAGGACTTTGTTGGCAGGTGCAAAGTTGCTCTTAAAAGTGCTCTGGAGTCACGTGACTCTAACTTACTGATAATAAAAAAATAACAAAAAAGATATGTGCAAACCTCAAAATACCAATCACAGACCCCACAGGTCAAATTAAGCAAAATAGAATGGCATTAAGTGCCTTATTTTTTTAATTAAACAATTAGTACATAAAAAACCCCCACAAATCTTCCTTAAAAAAAATCATTAATCTACTTCGTGACATCCATCTGCTAGAAATTTTGTACTAGATTTTTTTTTTATTACAAGCTGTATTTTTTAGCATTTCACAACTTAGTTTCAAGCTCGTAATAAAAGACTTGACTGCATGTGCATATTGACATTGCAAATATTTTGAAGAATCAATATAATTTAACAGCTGAATATTTACAGTTACTAGTCTGTACATCATTATTTTGTACAAAATTGATAATCAGAACTAATGGATGATGTTGCATGCGTAAAAGTACAAAAACACAATTTTTAAAAAATGACACTGTGCATTGTTTAAACTTTACAGGGTTAAAACACAAAGATCGCCTGGTCTTTTACTTATTTACAATTGTTTTCAAGACAACTTTTTTTCTTTGGGTGAGCGTTGCAGATTTGAAATATTCTAGCAATATTCTAGCATGTGTGTCAAGAGCTGGAAAGCGGTTGTAGTGCGTTTACAGTGAGTTGTTCATCACAGGTAGTGACATGAGCTTTTTCAACTTCAAATTAAAAGTCTGAATGTCTGTAATCAGGAGAAACACTAGACCTCCTCTCTCATCTGTCTCTGTTTCTTTACTTTTAATTAACTTAGAAGTATGAACTCTAAAGGACGTGGAGGGAGGATAATGTTACCCTTTAATAACTCACATGCTATTAATTATCTTAACCAATTGGGAACCATAAACTAACATTAGAAGAAAATTCTGTATTTGCTGGGTTAAGGTATCATAGGTACGCGCCCAAAACACTTTTTTATTATTATTTATGTTTAAGACGGCAAATGAACTGAGAGAAATGTTGACAGTATATACTTATATTTCATTCAATACCAATTTAAAAGTTAAATATAACTAAAACGAAAGGAATTTTTATACTTATTAAAGCATTGTGTTGTTAGCTTAGCAACATGCTAACGTCACATTCTAATGGGATCAATTGTAATACTTTTCTAAGTGTACTTCTTATGAAAAGCTCTTAAGGCACTCTCTCAACAAGAAGGCTGTTCCAGAATTTGCTAGCATACAAAATGATAAATGAAATGTTGACCGTAAATACGTTTCATTCAAGTAGCCAATCAATATAAAAGTTCAATCCAACTAAAAATTGAGAATTTTACTCAACATTTTATGTGTGCCGTGAATTTTTATACTTAGTCTTGTGTCAAGTATTGAGTATTGTGTTGCTAGCTTAGCACCATGCTAACACCACACTTTATTGGAATCATTTGAGTCCAGCCTCCAGTGTACTTCACCTGAAAAGTTCTATTGTGGAGTTTCTACCTATTAGAAGGTTCCAAATCAGTCAATTGAGTTCCATTTCAATTAGGAAGCTGCCTCAAAAGGTAGGTAGTAAACACCAAGGCAGCTCTCTAGGTTTAGGAACAGAGTAATAGGGTATATTACATGTTGATAGGTATACTTTGTGTTTTTTAAACTTCCATACAGACTCGTATTAATGCTTCTTCTGGTGATTTGTGTTCTTCCTCTTCAGAACATACTGTATTATCATCTTCATCTTCCTTTAGCAGCACCTACACAAACATATAAACACAGTTTAAGGTCAACCGAACAGCCTGGCCAGATCTTACAAATGATTGTTTTCCCGTTTGGGTCATTTTATAGGTATAGCATAAATCTACTGACTATAAAACCATAAGCACAGATGGAAGAATACAGCAGAAGATTGACAGTAGACCAGTTTTATACATTCTCGTTCATATTGGCACTCATCAAACATACTTTTCCACAGATTTGGATTCATTCTCCATAGCATGAGCTTATGGAAACATGTTCCAAATGTCACTGCTATAGCTGAACAAATGAATGATTTGTGAGCAGCTGGCACTCTACCAGTACTGGAGGAGTGAAGGAAAAAGGGATGAGGAAAAAAAGAAAAGATGAGAGGAGAAAAACAAAGTAAAAAAGATTGGAAAGACCCCATATTGCTCAACAAATGGAGATAATTTGACCCTAGAGGCCAGCGGCCTTTGGAAAGGTCTTCGGTCAAACGGCGAAAAAAAAGAAGAAAAGTTGTCCTGTAATCACATTCATATAGCACAATCCCACCATTCAAGAAGAAGAATACAATACACAAACACACAATCAAACTATTCATAAACAGCCCTAGAAACAAAACATTCATTTCAGTTGTGCGACTTCATTTCAAATGATATGCAAGAATAAAGCCAAACTAATACAAAAAAAACAAAACAAAAAAAAATTAGTCCAGTTGTTCTCAAATGGTTTTGCTTCGGGACAGATTTTATATTGGACATCAAGTGGTGACCAACACCCAAAATGCTTTATTGTAAAAACAAAAACAATAATATCTATAAAATAAAACATTTTGATTGACTAATATTACCATAAAACTGCAATATGCTAAATTATTCTTCTAAAATAGGCTGAATTGGAGAATGTATGTTGAATTTTGATGGTTTCATGATCTCCACAGAAAACATTTCACTGCAGAAAACAATATATTTTTTTTTATTTAATCATTTTTAATCTGTATTAATGTAGTCATGCTCCCTTTTGTTTTGTGTATTATTATTTTTATGATTTTTGAGGATAAGTGCATGTTCCAAATTTGTCATCGGTCTAATTTGGACAGTTTTTACCAATCCATGATGCATTTGCACAAAAATACCACATGCTCTTTCAGGTCAATAACCTAAGATGTGACTCTCCTCCCTTTTAAAAATACATAAATCAATTTATTGTGTTATATGGATGGTTGCATTTTATTATTTGCATTTAGCTTTGTTTTTTCCTGTTTTATGCAACCCAGTCAAAACAGACCAAAGACAAACCAGCTGAGATCCACTGAGTTGAACTTAACTTGGATGAAATGTCCAGAGGGACAGATATGGGGAACAAGGTCATAAGGAATTGTTACTGACTCATTTTTTTCTGGATCTACATACTGATTGCTAAACCCAGCATAAAAAAAATGCACATGAGTGATGATATAATGACAGCTTTTTCAATTAAATTAAATAATATCTTCAAAATATGTTTATGCTGGTGTAATCTAGGGACTAAAAAAATGTGCTGGTTAAAAAAAATAGGTTGTGGGTTCAAACCCTGTGAGGCAAGCAGGGCGGGGCCATGAGCCGCGGGAAAGGATCGAGGCCGGTGGCGCGAGTGCTAATGAGCATTTTGAGAGCCGGTTCGGAGCCAGTGCCTACTCGCGAACCAGTTCTTTGTGTTTCGACAGCCAAAGAACTGGTTCTCGGCCAGGAAAATTGGTTCCAAAGCAGGACCAACTCTTTGCTGGACTAGAACCTTTCTTTTGCCACATCATGCTTACGCCGACGTATGGCGACGTACACAGTGACGTAACGACGTCGTTCACTGGGCTCTCTAGTCCGTGGAAAGACAAACAGGTTCTGAGAAGGTTTGCAAGTTGAACCAACTTTGAACCAGCACCAGTTCCGAAACAGTTCTTTTTTGGTGGAAACGAAGTAATAGAGGAGCTTAGAAGGATAAAAGGAGGAGTGACGACAGTGAAAGACAAGAGAAGACTAGGACTGGGAATTTATGTTGTTATTTTGTTTTAGTTTAAGCGGCAGTCGTCCACGAGGGGCTGACAATGTGAATTTGTTACCTTAAAGAACTATTTATACCTGATCTTAGTCTTACCACTAAAAACAACTTTCATTGGTGTAATGTAATGTACAGTATCCAGGTTGAATCTGTCATTAAAAAACATAAATTCAACTATTTTTTACAGCATGCTATTGTGAGCATTCTCCTGTGCTTATAAATACGAAGTATCCACGCAATTATTAGTGAATGAGACCCTTTTTTTAATGTGCATTTATTGAGACGTCATATGAATATTCTCACCTCAGCTTCATCATTGCTTTCATGTGGCAACACCTCTACTTGCTTTGGACAGTCATGTGAGCCTTCCAGAGATGTCATCTTCTTATATTTCCGCATTGTTAAACTGTCCACCACCCAGAACATTATAGACTGAAACACATACATTTACATATATAAGTTGCATTATATTATATAAAGAAAGAAAGGGAGGGAGGGAGGATGACTGGGATGGATGGATGGATGGATGGATTGACGGATGGATGGATGGGTGGGTGGATGGATGGATGGATGGATGGATGGATGGATGGATGGATGGATGGATGGTTGGTTGGATGGATGGATGGTTGGATGGATGGGTGGATGGGATGATGGATGGACTGGTGGATGGATGGATGGATGGATGGTTGGTTGGTTGGATGGGTGGATGGGATGATGGATGGACTGGTGGATGAATGGATGGATGGGTGGATGGATTGACGGATGGATTGACGGATGGATGGATGGGTGGATGGGATGATGGATGGATGGATGGATTGACGGATGGATGGATGGATGGGTGGATGGATTGACGGATGGGTGGATGGATGGATGGTTGGTTGGTTGGTTGGATGGATGGGGTGATGGATGAATGGATGGATGAGTGGATGAATGGATGGACGAACAGAGGGATGGATAGATAAGTGGATGGATGGGTGGATGGACGGACGGGTGGATGGATGAGTGGATAGATACATGGAAAAGTGGATGGATGGGTGGATGAATGGATGGACGGACAGAGGGATGGATGGATAAGTGGATGGATGGGTGGATGAATGGATGGATGGATAGATGGATGAATGGATGAATGGACGGATGGATGAATGGACGGATGGAAGGATGGACGGATGAATGGGTGGATGGATGGATTGACAGATGGGTGGATGGATGGGTGGATGGGATGATGGATGGATGGATGGATGGTGGATGGATGGATGGATGGATGGATGGATGGATGAATGGATGGATGAATGGATGGATGGATTGACGGATGGATGGATGGATGGATGGATGGGTGGATGGATGGATTGACGGATGGGTGGATGGATGGATGGTTGGTTGGTTGGTTGGATGGATGGATGGATGGATGGATGGGATGATGGATGAATGGATGGACTGGTGTATGGATGGATGGATGAATGGATGGATGGGTGGATGAATGGATGGACGAACAGAGGGATGGATGGATAAGTGGATGGATGGGTGGATGGGCGGACGGGTGGATGGATGAGTGGATAGATAGATAGATAGATAGATAGATAGATAGATAGATAGATAGATAGATAGATAGATAGATAGATAGATAGATAGATAGATAGATGGATAAGTGGATGGATGGGTGGATGAATGGATGGACGGATGGATGGATGGATAAGTGGATGGACGGATGGATGGATGGGTGTATACGGATGGATAAGTGGATGGATGGATGGATGGATGGACAGATATCATGCATTATTCTTGAATGACTCACATTCACAATGAAAGGCACGATCAGCATGACGATGGCTAACTCCAGCTGTGGGTTTGGGATATAGTCCAGCACCACCTCCTCCAGCTACAACACACACAAACACCAGTGATCAGCACTTATAAATATACGTACATATCCATCTAATAAATAATGATAATAATATGAAATCTGCTTTTTATATATATATATATATATATACACACAATTATATATAAACAAGTCTGAAATTGCATGTATTAAGCAAGCAAGTAAATAAATAGATAAAAAAGCGTTCTATAGAGGAAATATAACACATTATCTCTATTCATTATTCCCACATGTCCTCGTTTCACCCTTCCACACTAGGACGTCAAAGTAATATGTAATTTGTCTATTTGCTTTCATTCATAAACAAACAGAAGGATTTCAAATGATTATAATATTTAGACTGTGTTTCTAATTAGGAGCTACGTATTAATTTAGATATTTGATTATTCTGGGTATCCAATGCTTTCAATTATTCGTTCATGAAGGACCCAATGTCGCATTAGAGTCCCAAGCCAGTCGGGACTCGCTCTCACGGACACAAACTCGCCAGTTCTTATCTTAGTCAGAGGGTTCAGGGTTAACTATTTCCATTAAGCTACTATACGCACGCTCACACATAAAAGTGTCATTTTCATAGTCACGTTTATACAGCTTTCTAAGTCAGTGATAGACAGAAATCAAAAGGTCCCAGATGGTGCTCCCTTCATTGGGCCACTGAGACATTTAAAATGATTCCAAACGTGAAAGGGATAAAACAATAGTGTCACAAAACGCATAATATGTGTTATGTAGACATTCTTGGTGAACTTTTAGTGACCTGAGTCAGGGCGAAAGGTGACGGAGTGGGAAGAGGGGTATGCATAGATGCGTGAGGAGAGAAGTTTGGGCAAGGCCTGTGCTCTTTCTTTGAGATCTCCTCTTCAGATTAGTGAGTTTTATTGTTTTATTGCAGGGGTGTTTGACCTCGTCTTCTGTCTTAGCAGGAAAAGCACAAGCACTGAAACGTTCGATGGTCAGACAATATTTGGCACTTGAGTCACTATATCTAAACCATTTCTGTTCGTCAAACGCATCAAGAAATATAGTTTGGAAACATTACTATTTTTAATGTTTTTGAAAGAAGTCTTATGCTCATCAAGGCTGCATTTATTTGATCAAAAATACAGAAAAAAACTGTAATATTGTGAAATATTATTACAATTTAAAATTATGGTTGTCTATTTGAATATACTTTAAAATATGATTTATTTCTGTGATCTAAAGCTGAATTTTTAGCATCATTAATCCAGTCTTCAGTGTCACATGATCCTTCAGAAATCATTCTTATATGCTGAATTATTATCAATGTTGGAAACAGTCGTGCTGCTTAATATTTTATAACCTGTGATACTTTTTTTTTTTTTTTTGAATTTATTGGTGTATAAAATGTTTAAAAAAGAACAGCATTTATTTAAAATAGAAATCTTTTGTAACAATATACACTACCGTTCAAAGGATTGGGGTCTTTCGTTATTATTATTATTTTTTAAAAGAAACTACTACTTTTATTCTGCAAGGATGTGTTAAACTGATAAAAAGTGATAGTACAGATTTATATTGTTAGAACATTTTTATTTTTAATAAATGCTGTGCTTTTTAACTTTTTATTCATCAATGAAAAAATGTATGTTTCTTCATATTAGAATGATTTCTGAAGGATCATGTGACACTGAAGACTGGAGTAATGATGCTGTAAATTCAGCTTCGCGTCACAGAAATAAATTCTATTTTAAAGTATATTAAAATAGAAAACCTTTATTTTAAATTGTAATAATATTTCACAATATTACTGTTTTTTTTTTCTGTATTTTTGATCAAATAAATGTAAGCTTGATGAGCATAAGAGACTTTTATCAAAATCATTAAAAATAGCAATGTTTCCAAACTTTTGACCAGTACTATATACTGTATATATAACAAAATAAAACAAAAACAGATTTTAGTATGTCCATCCTGGTATTACTAAATACTGTAGAGGGAAACGATGCCCATGGGGTGAGTCTGTGTAACAATAACGGAAACTTTGAGTGTGTGAATGTTTATCTTACATTGGTCCACCCGGGAACGAGCAGCACCAGAGTGACCACACTTTTCTCCAGAGCAACGATGAGTAAATACACCGAGCACTGAGACAACCAGGCCGCTACCCGGGGAGGATCACCTAAAACAGAGAAAGAGACACTCAAGTCAATTAGGATTTATTTACGTTTTCTAAAGTGCTTGTCTTTGCAAAAATGGACACCATTGCTGCTAAGGCATCAATAGCAAACGCACATCAAACTAAAGACATCAAATAACAATACAAGACAAAAATATCAAGAAATAAAAGAACAACATAGCACGTATGAAATGAATATATGAGAACACAGGGATGTAAAAAAAAAACATGTAAATGTAGAAGATCGCGAGCTGCATATTAATTAACATACATTAACATAGGCTATATAGGCTATATATATGTATTATTGACAAATTGTAATGATTATTATTAATTGAAAGATAGATTGGCAAATATATTGATGCTTTTAATGAAATTAATATTATTTATAAGGCACTCCTTTTCTTCCATAAAAAGACATTTTGTGATTTTTTTTTTATTTAACATTAATGAAGGTAACAATGCTGGTATTTTTAATAACGTAGTATTTATTTTAGCATGTAAGCCCTTTTAAGTGGTCAGCTTACAAAAGTTCTGGAAGATTTAAAATGGCAAAGTGTCAAAACAGGGATTTAAAAGCTGACCTAAGCAGAAAAGCATTCATGAACAATTGTTTGGCCAAAATCATGTGAAACGATGGACATATTCCATCTGCTTTACGTGCATGTGTGTGTGTGTGTGTGTATTTTTCTTTTTCTATGGTGTTTTTGCCAAGGAAATCCCAGAGAGGGTAAAAAGCAAGTGTGGGGAAACTACCCAAACACATTTGAAAAATATAACATGCAGCGCCCTCTGGTGGTGACATGAGTCTGAAACAAACTGATGCATGATAGATTCTCTTTTGCTTTTTAAATCTTTGGTTTATGTTTTCTGGTCATTATGACAGCAGACTTGAACTTTAAACAGACCCCTTTAAACTTCAGTTCAACCAAAACACTCAAAAAATAAAGGTTACAAATGTTTTTTTCCTGCAGCAATTGGTTTCCCAAAGAACCTTTAAGCGAACAGTTCTTTAAAGGGCCATTTTTTCTAGTGTGAAGGACATTTTGAAAATCTAAAGAACCTTTTTCCGCTATAAAGACCCTCTTGTGCAATCGAAAGGGGAATGGAACCATAGATACCAGTAAAGAAGCGTACGATAGCTTCCATTAATGTAACGCACCATATTCTCCGAACATTAGCAGTGTTAGGTGTTTATGTTCCACTATCTTGGAAACAACCTTCACCCCCACCCAGATCACCAGCATTCCCAATGTGGCATCCAACAGGAAGTTCAATAGATACCTGTAAAACAGAAAAGGGTAATACGGTTAGTGTAATTGCAGGCTAAAGCAATACAACTTGACAAACAAGTAATAACCGACTCACAGAGAGCAGGGATCTTCATTGGTGAGTGTGGACAGGAATATGTTGGCAAAATGCATACAAAGAGCACCGATGGCTTGCTTAGACGTATCAAAGATCCTGCAGGCAAAACGAAAGAATGAGAGTGTGCTCTGTTTTGTGCTATTATTATTAAATTATCATAATTCTTTACTAATGTTTCATTTTAATTACCAGATCCTCCAAGGTCTTCTAATTCCAACAGGTTCACGAAACCTCTTCACTGTGAAGACAAAGATATTGTTAGCATGAATATTGTTTAATAAACATCCATGTGAGTATCACTCTTAATATGGTTTAATATAGCATAACTTGAATTACTCCAGTCTTCAGTGTCACATGATCCTTCAATTATGCTCATTTGAATATCAAAAATGGAAATGCCAACACTTGGATGAACTCAGAATAAACTCCATCGCTGCCCTTTGTAATAGTCTAGCACACATATACCAACACCGAATCAAAGAAATTGAACTAAACAGACACAAAATTAGTAATTAAATGACTTTCAAGAGAGAGGATACTTGTGTTTAACGCAAACTCTGTCTCAAACCAGCTCACAAACCTACACACCCGAAGCTGAAAGACATATCTATGGGATGTTTCCACAAATGCAAACGGTTAGTCTGTAATCAACAGCCAAACAGAAGCAGGATGATTATTGAATGTCTGAGGAAACCAACAGCGATGACGTCAGCAAAGATAAGCAGCCCAAAAAAAAAAAGAAAGAAAGAAAAGAAGCGAGGAAGTGCCCAGAATAACAAAGAGGAAGTGCATACAGTAAAAGCACAAGCATATGCACAGGCCAAGAGTTTGTACAAATGTCACAAATTCTCCCTTTGTTTTTCTCTCCGCCTTTCCTGAAAACACGAATAAAACTTAACTTCGGTATTCAATAAACAAACAAATAGGCTACATGAAAATCAGTCTTCTGATAATAACTCATGATTAGGGTATTTTTTCTCTGTACACAGCAAAAAGTTTAATAATAAACAGGGACAGCACAGATTCATTAATGTGTAACTCAACAGTCATTTACCATGTTTTTGGGGGTTATTCAGTGCATGACCACAAAACAAACAAACTGCTTTTGGGAAGTATAATTAGAAAACATTATTTTTTACCTCCTCTTACGAAAACTCACCACCACTATGGTATTTAGTATGTTGCTGGGTGGCCGTCTAAGTCAAAAGAGCGTATAGGGCTACTATAGTAGCCTATTGGTCTCGGAATACACTGTAAATTTCCCTTCTTTTTTCATCCAGCAGATATAATCTCAAATCTCCTCAACAAGCCGCATTGAATTATTATTCATGTCCATACTACACATGCGGGACAAGTTACACGCTAAAGTTAGGTATAACTTACAGCATCGCCACATATTATAGCACCTTTGTAAATAACATTCTTAGCAAAAAGGCTTTGTTTACAACCACCACATTCACTGATTAGTAGCAGCTTGAATTATATCAGCTCACAATTACCAAATAAGAAAACACTATACTGTATCTTTGGACTGAATGAGCACATGACATAGTTAAATATTGGGAAAGAAACAATTCTTGAACCGGAGCTTATGTTCAAACTTGTAAGGCAGGTCACATGACTAGGACCCTCCAGCTGGTAAATATAGCGCGAGTTTGGGGTCGGAGCATCACATGAGCTACAGGAGTGAGGGCTGTTATCATGTGCTATCACACAGCTGAGGAATCTCATCATTGAATAAAGCTTTTATCATTGATTTCAGATTGTGTGTGTGTGTGTGTGGAAAGTGAATGGCTGCTTTCTTTTTAAGGTGCGTTCATTGACTGTTGTTTGGCGAATGCTCGTGGACGAAATCCTGTCATCTTAACAGGAGTAGGCTACATCGGGAATGATGTGTGAAATATTTCACAACAGGTTCAAGCTGAACTAGAAAGCTGCTTGGTTTACAAGTGTCATCTGTGTGAGCTGTGATTCGCTAAACTATTGTCAAGACAACAGATCCTTTGTTTTGTTTTGTTTTTGCCCAGACAATTTCTCTAATGTAAACACACCTTTAAGTCACATTTCTGGTCTTATTTTGAATGAATGATTGGTGAATGTTATTTCAATAAAAAAAAAAGAAGAAGGTTGTAACAACTTAGTCCTCCTTAACAACTTAATCTTCCTTTTCTGCTGATGTCTCTTAACTTCTGGATAATAGCAATCAATAATGCGAACAGCTCTTTAAGCTTTGTTTATGCAAACTCTGGTTTGTTCATGATCCAATCAATTCCCAGTTTGATAAAATCAACTCCTGCCCTGCATATTTTCTCATTGAATGTCCTGTTGCACTACATTACAGAAATAAAATGGAGTATAGCCTAATTCAAGTTTACCTTGAGTGACAAAGTGGCAATTATTTCTGTTGGACTATAAGATGTACTAGACACTAAATTTTATGAAATAATGTTCCCACAATGTTTTTTACCAAATAATTTCCAAGACTTTCCCAGTAGTTTGTGATTAATAGATAGGCCTAATATTTTATAGATATATTAGATATTAAAGATTCAATAGATATACAACTACTTTTTTTAAATTATATATTTATACTTTTTCCAAGTCTTCATGGTTAATTCATTCAAATATTTGCACCTTTTCCATCACTGTTCCATACAATTTGTTGCCAGGTGACTGAAATATTAGATGCTGGTCACCATCATGACAGCACCACAGACTATAGGTAAACCTTAAATTTCATGACTCATGTTCCTCATTTTAAAAAGGTACACGAGTCATGTTGAAAATAATGATGCTATGAGAAAATAACTGAAATATGGTATTAAGATAGGCAACTTGAAAGAAAATACATTTCATACATCCCAAGTTTATGTTAGATGGGTGCGAATGTGGTCAATATTTTGTTTATTTGGGTCGCTGAATGATATTGTAACGTGCAGCGCTTGATTAAATGTCATGACTCATGACGTTTCTTTATTGCTCGAGGATTAATAAACACTTCAGACCCTGAATTAGCACACAATGAGAAGAATGAATGGATCAAAAGATTACAATGAAGATAAAAAAAGATAACACAGACACTGTTGAACCAGAATAAATAAAACCAAAATTTCTCTGCACAGTAATTTTTTAGTAAATATTTTTGTTTTGTTGACATTCAGGGTGATTCTCTGAATTGGGTGCCCTTCAAGTCCCCCAAACTTGCTTCAAAGATTTTCAATTGAAGGAAATCACAAAATGCATTTTAATGCTGTCAATTAATAGAACCAGGTGCCTTTGCATTATAATGCAACACAATTTCTTTAAATTTTTTTTTTAATTTAAAGATAAGGTTGCCTAAGTAGTAGACAACAAGCAAGTTTGCATGTCCTCACTAACCATCATTACATTTTCATTGCATATCAAGCAAATAAAAAGTACAATTAATACCAAAATGTTGCTGCTAATATAATCATATGTTGGTCTACTTTAACTAAAATATACAAAAAAAAATATATATATATATAAAAAAAAATAATTAATTATATATGAAATTACAATATTTATACACGTCCTCCAGTTTGTTTTCAACCCCGTCACGCCATACTATTTACCCCCCTATAAAAATAATGGATCAATCCCTGTGGCATCTCATCCAGGAAGTGACATCACACAAGTCTCTTAAAGAACATGCTGCAAAGAAAGGCAAGTGTCAGTATCTTTTCTTACCTATATTTCATGTTTTTCGCTGTCAGATTAAGATTGTCAGGCTCAACATTTCAACTCTGTTGTATGACTAAATGATAGTAAACAACGGTTTGAGAAGAATTAAATAATAGTTTTGCAAAACATTACAATTTTATGATGTCCTAAATGCCATGTGGTGCTACTGTCTTTGCTAAGTAAGGAGTTATGGCTACTATTAGCCAAAAACTTCAACCCCGTCACATTTTTAGTATAACAGGGTTGAATCGTTGTGACAGGGTTGAATGTTTGACACTTCTTAGTAGATTACTCAATTGTAGACTTGTTGTATTGTGATGTGAACTGTCAGAAATAATCGATTATGCCATTTTATTTTCAGACATCGCAATGGCAAAAACAGCAGCAGAGAGGCAAAGACAGTACAGAGCAAGAAGGGATGCAGACGCAGAGAGAAGGGAAAAATATCTCAGGAGTGAGCGTGAAAGGTGGAAAAGGGACACAGAGGCAGGGAAAAAGAAAGAATAAGTCATAATATATAATAAATAAATCCATTCTATATTGAAATAATGATGATCACTTCAACCCTGTTATCATTTTCAACCCCGTTATGCTGAGTTCAACCCTGTTATTTGATCGTTTTTATTAATATTTTCGTGATAAGAAGACAAATTAGGTCAATGTTTGTTTTGCTGTGTGTAGAATTTACCGGACAGTCGGAAAAAATACGAAAGCCTGATTAAATCCTAATGTTAATGCATATTTTGTGATAAGATATGAAGACCAATGTTAGATACAGTTTTCATGAGCTGATTTGGTATTCAAATGGTGAGTATTTAAAAATAAAATTCTACATGCAATAAATGATATCAAACAAGGGACATCTCATTGAAAAGCTTCTACAAGAATTTACTTGAAAATCTTTTAAAACCATATTTAAAACAGGGTCCAAGTGGTCTGTGACGGGGTTGAACTTCAAAACAACTTTCAGTAAGAAAAAACACTCAATATCGATTAGAATTTCATGCCTGAGGTGGGAAAATGCATTTTCTTAAAGGTTTGACTAATCCACTATCACATGAAATGATCAGAAATATAACTATTTGAGGTATATAAAAAAAAAAAGGTATGACCCAAAAGGCACCCATCTCAGAGAGTCACCCATCAACGAACGTCATTTAAAAGTCAAATCAAGTGCTTAAGGTACATTAAGTTATTTATTTTACAATACACTACTAGATGATAAAAATGGTCTAAATTATAAGTAGGCTACCACTTCACACAACATGTTCCATAGTAGGCTACCGCAATACTAATAGCTACAACAGAACTGTAAACAAACAAACAAACCAACCACAAGCTGCATCATATTCTTAAAAGAAAACAATAGAAAAAGCCATCACGTCACACGGAAACATCATCGCATTTGCGGTTTAGTTTAAAATGCGGAGACAACTTACACATTAAAGTGCTGAAAGCCAGAACAGCCAACAGACCCTGAATAAAAACACTGAATCCGTCCATCAGAGATCCGTCCACACAGCCCTGATACTCCGGGTTCACCAAATCACTCATATTTATTCTGCTCTTCATAAAAACTAACATGTTTGCGTTTGAAAACCAGAACAAAAGTCATAGGATCCTTTGTGGAACAGAAATCCTCGGGAATTCGACTTAAACGGGTTTTCCATATAGCTTCACTAGCCAGAAGACAAAGAAATTCGCACAGCAGACTGATGAACCAAGATCGCACACCGCTCGAGCTGTTAAAGTCGTTGGAGTTGAGCGATGTGGCATAAGATAAAGCATTTCATTCAGGTCAGTTTCTTTCTTTCTTGTTATTGAGTCAACAAGGGGGAAAGCGGCTCTGCTGACGTCACCTCCTGCTGCTGAAATCTCCTGGAGCCCTTTGTCCCCCTAATGTGAATGCATAGATTAGGACAAGTTACTTTTATTTTAGATCATTTCTTAGAATTGTATTATATATATATATATATATATATATGTGTGTGTGTGTGTGTGTGTGTGTGTGTGTGTGTGTGTGTGTGTGTGTGTGTGTGTGTGTGTGTGTGTGTGTGTGTGTGTAATTCAAATTATACACACTATACTGATTGACTGTACACAATATTGATATTAGTCAATGTTTGGAATGAAATTTAAATGTAATTGACAAAGTTTCATCATATAGCCTACTTATGAATATTGTATATGTATCTATAGCTAAAAATAAAAGTTATTGACGGAAATATTTTGGACCTAATATATGGGGAAATAGGGAGTCAGTTGTTCTAATCAAATCCACTGTATGTCATAGGCCTATTATACTGTACCTGTGTGACACATCAATTCAGGTCAACTCTTGAACCTTATAAAATTCATCTTCATGAGTAAACCATTCAAGAAACACTGGAAAATAGTTGTTTATCAGAAGTTACCATGCCAACTAACCTCTCATCATAAAAACATCTGCTGCATCTCAGGTATATGAATTCAATGTTCCTTTTTTTCTTTTATTTCTATACAGCCTCTTCTCAGCCGTGACGCACAGTAAAAGGAGTGGTAATGGTTGTTTCAGCATAACTTGAATTTTCAGAATCATTACTCCAGTCTTCAGTGTCACATGATCCTTCAATTATGCTCATTTGAATATCAAAAATGGAAATGCCAACACTTGGATGAACTCAGGATAAAGTTCTGTTTGAGACTAACTCCATCGTTGAATGAAGGAAATGGAAACTGAAGGAAATGAGCATATGAGTACAACTGAAGCATAAATAAACAGAAAAAAAATACATATGGATCAAAATCAGATAAATAGATTTCACTTAAAAGACATTAAACCGTTTCATAGGACATATAAACAGATTAGGAGAATGAGGTGTAATCAGCAATATTTACAATAAATAACATTGACTATGTAAACTATTTGTTCATTTGTTGATATTGTGTGGCATATTTTTGGTTGACTTTATTTACAATGTGGCGTAGAAGACCATGTGCATTTTAGGAGCTATTGCCACGTCTGTGTAGATTTTGTTAAATTATGTTTGATGTTCTGAATTCATATCTTTTATTTTGAAGTTTAATCATAAACATATTATTGTTTATTTAATCATCAAGTTCATAGTCTTTTGCCGTGTTTGAAATCGCAAACTCTCTTGTTTTGAATAATTACTTTGTGACTGGAAAAAAAGAATGTTCTATATAGTATTGTAAGTCCGTCTAATTCGATCCAATGGCGGTATCGATTAGAGGTGAAGGTCTCAATCACTGATCATTCTATATAGATCAGTGGTCTCAACGCGTGTTCCGTCTCTTCCCATGGCAACGGCAAAGGGATTTTTAATTAAATACAATACATTTTTTTTATGTATTAACTCGTTTCATCTGACTCCATAAAATGAAAAAGTTTTTCTATGATATCTGTGCGTCATTAAATATACCTTAATGTTTGACTATTCCTTTTAACTCCAATGAAAATGAAGTCAAAGTCTGTTAGAATAATCAAATATAACAATTTATTATGTCAGGTAAAAGTATTAAGCCAATTTCATAATCAGTTCAAAGATCATCAATACAAAACATCAAATGCTTTAGGATAAGAGAAATAGATGCAAACCCAAAATTTAAGAACTACATGAGCTACCTCACGGGCTATCTGAAATACAGAAAGAGCCCTGAGCTCTCGTTGCATTTTCCTTATATAGCCAGACCTTATTTGATATGTAAAGCTTGAGTTTAGTGGAAATTTACTGCGTTCACCCCCCCCCCCCCCCCCCCCCCCCAGGTAGAAGAACCATTTGCTAACAGTGGTAATTTGCATTCATGAATTTACACCTTTTGGGAGTAGGATCATGCCTAGAGACCACATTCATTTGTGCCAGATATCCCTAAACTCTTAAAAACCTTATTTCCTTTTGTTTGACTTATTGGGAAATGAGACATATGTACCACTTACCCTGCGACAGTTTAAATGATACTAAACACAATACTCAATGATAATCAGTCACATTAAACCATAGATATTCTTATGTGAGTTTTTATGTGTTACTGCGAGAGTGGGGGATGCGGGGAAGAAGTGTGTGTGTGTGTGTGAGAGTTCAAATGTTAATTTGCCAAGGTCCTTTGTCTCATAGACCAGTGGTCTATCTCTTCACCCAGTTTTCCAGTCTTACAGTATGAATGAAATCTGGACATACATGTTGTCATTGTCATGTGATGTACTAGTGCCAGTTGCGTCGCTTCATGGCCTCATGGGATAGTAAATTGTCGATCAGCTGCACCTCAGAATCTCGACAGAAGTAGTAAGTCATCCGGTTATTTTTTTCCCAACTGTTTCATGAATACTGGACATACTCTTTTGCATACTGTTTTTCGCCTTCCATGGTGAAGCCGGCGGAGATGGAGACCAAGATGGAATCGGCAGAAACGAGTACCATGGCGGATTAGAAGAGTACAGGGAATCAGGAGGCCAAGGAAGAGCCGACAGAGCAGAAAACCGAGCTGTAGCTGAAGACCACTCAAGGGCGAACTCAGAGACAGCCTTCATGGCATAATAGGGAACTCACGAAACTCAGGGACGGTACTCCTGGCCATAGCAATACAGGCAGGGAACTTGGAGACTGCATTCCTGGCCATGGCAGAACAGACAGTGTGCTTGTGTGGCTCCAGCGCTGAAATGAGTTCTGCGTGCAGAACTGGGTGAGTTCTCAGACAAACAGAAGCAGTAATGACATGGGTAGCACTTTTAGGACCACTGGAGCAGGGACCACCGGGTTTGGGGTCTTTGGGACCACCGAAGCAGGGACCACCAGACTTGGGAACTCTGGGACCACTGAAGCAAAGTTTGCAGGGCTTGAGACCTATGTGGCCACTGGGCTAGGGAGTGCTGGGACCACCAGGCTAGGTAGCACTGGTTCCACTGGAGTTAGGGGGCTGGGACCATCAGGCTTGGGACCACAAGGCTAGGGAGCACTGGGACCGGGACCACTGGGCTAGAAAGTGCTGGGACCATCTGAATTGGGACCACTGGGCAAGGGAGTGCTGGTACCACTGGACTTGGGTGTGCTGGGACAAATATGCTTACAAACACTGGGCTAGGGAGTGCTAGGACCACCAGGCTAGGCAGCACTGGTTCTACAGGAGTTAGGGGGGTGGGACCATCAGGCTTGGGACCACCTGACTAGGGAGCATTGGCACCAACAGGCTAGAGAGGGCTGGGACTACCAAAATTAGGACCAACAGGCTAGGGAGTGCTGAGACCACCGTTCTTGGGACCACTGGGCTAGGGAGTGCTGGGACCAATGGACTTGGGAACACTGAGACCACCGAGCTAGGGAGCTTTCTCCCTCTCCTCTTTGAGCCATAATAAGGAGCGAGCATGAGGTATACACAGGGTGACACCACTGGCTGGGAAGTGCTGATACCCAATGTGGGAGAAGCAATGTATCCCTCACTGTAGGAAGAGAGGCACAGTCTTAGAGCATAATTAATTAACTTTTCCAATGTTAAGTCACATCTGCCTTTTGGCGGACATGATTTAACAGGCTTGTTGAGTCCAAAGGGATACAAGCCTTGAAGGACTTTATCTTCCCAGTCCACACAGCTGGCAAGAGCACAAAAGAGCTCTGTATAGCCTTCAGTGGTGTCCCTCCTCCGCCGAAGGCACACAAGCTAATCTGCTGGATCCATGGGTATTGGTCAGGTATCCTGTAACGTTTGGTGACTCAGAGACGAGGGAGAGCAGGATCCAACTGAAGATTATGATTAATTGAAGATTATGACAAGAAACAGAATTTTTGCATTACATTTTTAAATGCAACCAACTAAGCTGTATAAGTCATTTAAACTTAAATCACATTAAACTGAAGTAATGTAAAACATATGTTGTCATAACTTATTAATCTTATTTTTTTTTTACAGTGAACAGATCTGGTCATTTGACCAGTCCGAGCAGAGTAGGATCGCGGAAAGGAGGGATTGAGAAAGACTGTATCTTCAAACTAACCGTTTTCAGACCCTAAGAAATTAGGTGACGTGCAATGTATGCTATGAGTAAATTAAACTGTTTTTTTTACCTTTGATGCATGTAAGTCTTGAGACCTCCACATTTTTTTTTAGAAACCTTTAAAATAGCATAATATTTTAACATTAATTTAACATCATGGCAGGATTACTTATTCAGAGTTTGCATTAGACTGTTTTTATTCATTTTGAGGAATACTGAATCTGTTTTTGTGCAAGTGAGATGAGTAAAGGCATGCTCACATTTAGTCTAAAACTACAATAACCATCATGTTAACACACAGTGCACACAGGGTCCTTAACTTTCTTTCAACAAGGGGTCAGAAGATCTGTCAGTCAATTAATGGGAAAACAAATTAACTTGCATTACTTATTTGAAAAAGTAACTCCGATATTTTGTTGTAACTTTAAAGGTAATGTGTTACTTTACCAGTTACTCGAAAAAGTAATCTGATTACGTAACTCGCATTACCCCAAAGCAGCACATGATCCTTCAGAAAATCACTTTAATATGCTGATCTGGTAGTCAAGAAACATTTCTTATTGTTATCAATGTTGAAAACACATCCTTGCGGAATAAAAGTAATTTTTTTTTTTTTTTTTTTATCTTAATGACCCAATTTTTTAACATTTTGTAGACTGGACATGAAAAATGCATACTAAAAACTAGAGATTTTGATGGAGGTGATCATAAAAGAAAGGTGGCTGCAAATATACACAGTAAAAATATTTGTTCAGATAACCTAATTTGTTTCATGTGTTACCATCTTGAACTGTTTTATTCAAGCCGAAAATTATTTACTGTATAACAATCAAACTGATTAGGTTACACAGATGAAAGTCATTTTAAGGGTTTTATCAGAAGAAAAGAAAAGGTTTTATTATAGAACTCTAAACGGTCTTGTCAGCCACTTCATACTGTATATTCCCATGGGATCATTTTATGGATTTAGCTTTAATGAATGAATTAATTTTTGTTTCAATTCATGTCATTTATTTTGATTGAATTTTATGAATTAAACAGCTTGTAAACATACTTTACCACTAGAAAAATGAAAATGAAATAACTCATTAAACATGAAAGTATTACAATCATTAAGAAATTTTTTTGGCATAAAGGATTCTTTAAAATTAGGTCAAGAGGTAGAACCCCAATGAACCCTTTCTGGTAACAACTGGGCTAACCAGATAATATCCTAATTTCCTAGTCAAAACTTTTTAGTACTATACCACAGCATGGAGAGGATAAAGCATTGACCCACATTGTCTATCTCCTCTCACAAGGTCTCGTGGTAATCTGTCCCTGGAAGAGCTTGTCAAAGTCTCCTCTTGTAGATTAAGCACAAGGAATGAACCATCTGTTACTGTAACATCACTAAGATGTGCTTATTAGATCAGATCAGTTTTTTTTTTTTTTACTGGACAAGGAATTTCATCTTACAGAATGTGTAGGAGGGTGTTTATATGTGTGGGTGAGTGTTGATGGTGTTGCTAACCCCCTACTTCTGCACCAGTCCTATTGAAAGTCATTAAAGTGCACTTATTTATAGTGTCAACTATATTGATGCGACTTTAAATTCAAGTCAGCAATAAATATGGTTACCACAGGAGGGCAACGGAGGACAATATGAGAACTGAATTTATATGTCTGAGATAGGTCATTTCTAAACAGCATTATTGCAATAATAAATTCATGCTTTATGTATTAATACAAATAACACATTATCATTTATACATCGGCTAATTTACATTTTTAAAGATATAGCCTACTGTAATGTTTTGTAGAATAAGCTGTGTTAGTTAACCCTAAAAAAACTTCATGTCATAACATCTAAATTAAAAGCTTTCATTAAAAGTAAAAACATCAATCATGTTATCATATTAAACCTCATTGGTTACACAACAAACGTATAAACCATTAGGTTTGCATGTTATAACTTTTTACAGTGTAGTCTACATAATATTATTGTCATATTCCTATCTTAAAAAAACAAAGGTTCTTTAGGCATTGATGGCTCCATGAAGAACCTTTAACATCCATGGAACCTTTCCTTTGCACAAAAGGTTCTTTAGTGGGAAAGATTTCGTTTTTTACACTTAAAAAAAGTTAGTTTAAGAACTTTTCACTGAAAGGTACTTTGGGGAACCAAAAATGGTTCTTGGAAAATGGCATTGTAGTTGTAAAATTGGCAAAAGTGAACTAGTCATATTTTTAGGTGAATGATGATAGTAGCTATTTCATTTTCTGTGAAACTTACTTCAGTTGTTTTCCCCCCCTATGACTAAATTTACACAGGATAGGGATTGTATTACTTAACATGACTCTAATGAACTGAAAACATGAATAATTTCTCTACTGTTACTTTTAGAAACAGAAGGGTACTGTTATTTCTTCCTCTTTATTTTTGAGTGGTTTCAGCATAAAATATCACTTTGAACCATACATTAAAATATGTCAGAAAGACGCTTGAAAATGTAAAGCGGTCAAATTATTTTTGCGCAAGTGAAAACAAGTGAGGTTGCAACAGCAGCCCCCTCTTGTTTACACTGCCTGTGTCTCAAAACCTAGTGAGTTACCTACATAGAAAGCATTTTATCTGTATTTTTTGCACGTTCTCTTGGACAGCATTTTTTTGTCCATCAAATAGTCAGTAGCTCCAAAAACGATGCACGCGTCACTAATGCCCAAAAGTGATGTACGCACGTATGAATGCCCAAATGCTGTCCACTCAGGAGGCTCGCGAGGTTTTTAGACACAGCCATGAGTTTCCCCACACGAGGGAGGCGGGGGCTCGGTCCTATTTCTATTTATAATGGGCAGAACAAATTTTGCAACTGTAAAGGTCAATGAAGGAGTCGGCTTGAAAATAATCTGTAGATGTTGAGACATGCGCAGATGCGGGATGATGCCATATTGGACACACACACACACACACACATACACACACCGCTCCTGCTTCAACCAGAACACCGGATCACTCAATTCGGATAGACGGAAAAAAACTCGCATAAGGTAAAAACTACATTATCCGCATGAACTTCATTCTGTAATAGTGATCGTGTCTGACACGGACTCGTGCTTCTATGCGCGAATTTCCGCGTACAGACGCTTTTTCCTCGTTAAAAACATTTGGAGGTTGTTTGTAACAGTCAGAAATATAGGCTACACAAGCTTCTGCGCAAGAGTTGATAAAACGGTCCGAACAATAAAGTAACCTTATTTTATAACACGAATGTCGAACGACCGCACTTTCGATTATGTCGATAAAAATATTTACGATCTGAAGAGACGCGCGCTGAAAATGTCGTTGAAAAATAACGTTTATGTAACAAGCGATATTTTCGTGTCGCGTTCTTCCTCAAAGATACTCTCGCCCTGTTACTATTGACTTTATTTTCAAACTGCCATTTGACCTCCTTTCGATTTCAAAGGACACAATGTTCACGCTTGATTATCAACACTTAAGTTTACACATTCGGGTGGTGTTCATAGAAATGTTTTTGAACGTCACGACCCGGTCGGTGTACGTGCGATTCAGGTGCGCGGAATATGGTCCGAAATCCTTGTTCCTCATGTGTCAAATCCACTTTCAACATGGCGGGTTAAGGTGTGTTAAAACTGCCATGCAAAATCTTTGAAGAAGGAAAAAATAAAACCGCGTTGTTTACGCATCCCGTTTTCGTTTCTTTCGCTGCACCTGGACGTGGTTTAATGAATTAAATTTAAAGTTGTCGTTTGCCGACGTCGGTGTCGTTTTTTTCCGCTGCAATACTTTTAGAGTGTGTAAAGTACAGTAGTATCTCACATGCTCATACAATATTTCCTGTTTCGCTTTGTGCTCTGCTGAATGCGGGAGACAACATTTTATTCACATATTATTCCTTAATCAAACAGTTCATGAGCCACACAGTTTCAAGAAGCTATACGAATGAATAGCCTAAACCATAATGTTTTAAATAAAATCGATTATGGTGAATTTGTATTAAAGGCGATTAATTTTCATCAAAATACGTGTTATTTATTTGATTAGCCTATAGTGGATGTCGCTGTAAATCCTTTAGGGTTTTATCCGTTAATACGGGCGGATTAAACTCGCCGCATTAATGAAGCGGAAATGGAGTCACGTATTTGATGACGACGAGATGAATTGATATGAAATTATATTTCCCGTTAATTCTCTGTCTGACCTGGAAAAGATGAGCTCGAGTAAGTCTCTTTATAGCCTTTTTTTAGACTATCATATATAGATAGCAGGCCCATTAAAGAAGCATTTGTTTAATAAAACCGTTTGAGAAGTAGTAGCCTAGATAACACAATTCAACAATAGCCTTCATGAAATTCATCAAATCTTCGATGTGTTGAAGCAGCCTGACGTACGCTTCAATAAAGCTTGACATCTGAATCGATTGTGCCTTAAGACAGAACACCTTTTTTTATTAGGGTAAAAAATAAGTGCAGAAGAACAATACGAGGTCATATAGACTACGACACCTGAGGAGAAGATGTTGAGCGGCTAATAACAGCATGAACCCCCAAAAGTAGCCTAATGTCAAAAACAGATGGATGGGTGGTCCAAATAGTATATATTTAGACAAATAGGCTATACCAGCGTTATAGGTTACAACTTTTTCAGGGGCCACAAAAGTTTAGGCTGTATTGTTGTTGCGGCCAAATAGAAGCTAGTAAACAGAAGTTGCTCTCCTCTGAGGAGGTAACCATAGCAACAGTACGCAGCTTGAGTACGTTCAGTATCGGACAGTAAGTAGCCTACTCTGCCTACAGGCTATTTATTACGAAATATGTGATCATATAGATTTACATACCACACAAATGTAGCAGTGGAGGATTTTGGGGTTGCAGCGAATAGGCTGAAATTGCTTTGAAAGGTCTCTGGAAGTCATTTGCTACTATATAATTCGCATACGTCGTGATTATGTAACATGTTAAGGACTGGTAATCCATATTTAAAGCATCGTTAACGCACAAACACTTCTAGATGTGCAGTGTGAGTGAGTTGAGATATGCGATATGTCATAAGGTAATCAGATAGTTTAGCCTCGGGTCGCAGAGATCGGGTGACCGTCCGTTGTGGATTGAATAATGTCATTTACATTCAGGCCGTTGTGACGTAATGTCATTGGACGTCACGACGTGAGCATGAAAACAAATATAGGTGGCCTCCTATACTAATTAGACAGAATTACACATATAAGTAGGTTTGGGGAAACTTTAAAGGGAACTTTTGCGAGGTAAACACATTGGCTTGCAATGCAGGAATGAATGTTTATTTGGATAATATAGTTATGTGTAGCCTACTATCCTTCATGACGTTTTATAGCATTAGCATCACTTCTCTGAGTAGGCCAACTGCATGAATTTCCCTTTATAAGGTCAAAAAGGTGTTTTTACAGAGAATGATGTCATGGGTATTTTTCTTTGTGCGGTAAAGCGTAAATAACTGAATAACTTGATGATGTCATCATGTTATGTTTTTGAGAAGTGATGCCATCATATTTCAGTGGCCTATAAGATGCTCTAATGCTAGTAGGCTATGTTATTATACAAACTTGTTATCTATTTGACTTATCTCGATCATTTTTGACATTCACACTTGATGCTATGAGTTTCAACTTGATTTTTTCAACTTGACTGAGGTAAATTAAGAGTGATTGGATTAAATATAATGAATTTAACACTACGTGTGGCACATTGTGTAAAAGGAGAGAAATAAAACTAGCTATTTTACACTCATTTCCACATTTTAAAGATGGCAACGCTCGAAGACTTGCATTTAATATAAGAAAGCACCAACAGAGGACTGACCATAGATGCCTGCTTGAGTTCCCAACATGCACTGTAGCTTTAATTATTATAGCCTACAGATTACTGTTAGTTTTATTGTTTGCTGCTTTTATTTGCGCTGTTGTTGTCACTCTCAGTTATGTGCACACTCTCAGAAAAAAAAGGTACAACATCTGGTACCCTTTCAAAATGTACACCTTTGTACCTAAAGAGTGCATTTTACTACCTTAAAGGAACTTATTGGTACCAAAAGCATATTAGCATACCTAAATGGTACATATTCAACCTTTTTAAAGGGTTCTGTCCCAGTGACAGCTTTTGTACCATTTTGTCTGAGAGTGCAGGGCTCTTTTTTCCACTCTGCACCATTATTGAAGTTTGTGCTTTAGGTGCTGATATACATGCGTAATTGAATACTGTAATTTATAGATTTCTCTGTCCGTTCAAATCATTTTAACAGGGCTATTTCAGGGTTCTTGCCATACGCATTTTCCTACATTACTAATAGCATGGAACTTCCTGGAAAACATTAGGCAAATAATGAGGCACATAGTCAAATCACGAATAAAAGCAATTTGTGTGCTGAAAGCTCAAGTTTTCAAGTTGATGTGTAATATTATCAGGAGAAAAAAAAGTATTGTAACCTGCTAAACTAAACAATAGACAGATGAACCCTCAGCTTAACTTAACAATTCCTCTTCTCCAAGTTGCATGATTAAAATGGATTATTAAATGCGTCTGAGACTGAAAAAGGCCAGAGCCGTTTATTTTAATAAGAAACGCAGCACTACATTGTGTTCCAATAATCCTTTAATTCCCCCTTCCACAATTGAACAAGTCCTGGATTAGAGCGAGGGGGCATCTGGCTCAACATGAGCTAATCGATAGTACGGCCTGCCTAAAATCTGGATTTATTCTGAAACAGCCCACATCATAGATTATTAGGGTTGATAATTCACTTTAATCCCGCATCTTCAATCCGGAGGTGTCTTTCCACCCACAGGCCCAACTGTGCTGGCTGAACCACAAAGAACCCACACAAATCAAGACATCCAAATGACAGCAGCAATGAATATATTTGTTCGTCATTTGAAGATTACTCATCGCCAAAAAGCAAAACCTACTTTTTGACACTAATAATTTAAATGTTTGCTTATATTTATAATGGTCAGTAGTATTATATTTACCCCTGTAGATTTTTTTTTGTTTGCCCAGTTTATGAGAAATTGATGGCATTTCTTTCTGACAGAATTTTGGATGCAGATTCTGGTCAACTGGAACAAATTTTTTTTTTCTCTCATTCAAAGCCCACTCAAGTCACAGTGAATTGTCATGTCAATTTCTTAGTTGATTCTCGGTTTTCTCGACCGGGGTTGTGCGAAACACCCCCCGAAATGTCTCAGAAATGAGTGACAGAACCATAATATTTTTCATCTGCTGTGTTTATAACACAACACTCTCACACACACACACACACACACACACACACACACACACACACACACACACACACACACACACACACACACACACACACACACACACACACACACACACACACACACACACACACACACACACACACACACACACACACACACACACACACACACTGTCATCATGGCAAATATTGAGTGAGTCATTTGCAAGGAAGTGGTTTCGGTGTTAAAGTGCACTTCTTGTTCATAGTTCCATCTGAAACCAGGGACTTCAATAGAAGAAAAATACATTAGTGTCACAATGTATGCATTATTCATTGCTCTCTCTTCACTTCTAAAAATAAAGGTTCCTTAATGGTTCTTTGGAGCACCTTATAGGTTCACTTTTTTTCTTATAATAATCAAAGGTGTTCATGATGTGCGAAAAGTTCTTGATGTTACATTATTCTTCAGATCAGATCAGATTGTTTTTCTTTTAAAGCAGCATTTTGATCATTTCCACAAAAAAAAAAAAAAAAAACAATCATGGCCCCCAGAATATTTTGTTGTGTGGATATCTGAACTTGCAATATATCAAAAGATTGAAAGAAACAGAACCTCTTCTTTTAAACAAACCAAACAAACTAAACCTTTTATCCAAGCTTTGCTTTTTATCTGGAAAATTCCATCAATGGCGGGGAAAGAGTTAAGCACCAGTACAGATGGTTTTCTAAAGAACTAGAGAATAAAAAGTTATTTGACATCATAAAATCCCTTTTTAGCCCCAATTGGAAGCTTTATTTTAAAGAATGGTTTATTGGGAATTTAATTCATTAGATTAAATGTAGGCCTGTACTAGCATAAGCAAAGCAAAAAAAATGACCAAACAAGGCATGTTTGGTCATTATTTTGTTAAGAGAGTCTGAGTTTAAATAAATGATAAATGTGGTAAAAAAGTCAAAGTGGCATTACTTAAATCATGTTCAGTTTTAGAGCCAATAAAAGTAAAGGAACCACAACATGCTGTTTTTCGAAGACTTCGGTATGTTTGAAGGATGCAATCATCAGCTTTTCACATGACATCATCAGTGCAGAAGGTCCAAACCACAGTCCTTCTCACCAAGTACTTAGATGATCTAAAATAACTGCAATATTTTAAGATAGTCTTATTTGTTTGCTATGCTGTATTGTTTTAAAATGATCCTTGTTAACCAAGTTGATAATCCAGCATTTCTATAGGTTATAGTCAGGATAGAAACTGTATTTAATTTGATGTGAATTAACAATGGAGTGAGCAATATGTTAGATTTGATATATGAAGGTAATAAGGTGTAGCTTGTGTTGAGATACGTTTGTATCTTTTTGAGTTTTTGAAAAGATCTAGTATTGACGTTGAATTGTGGTCTTATTTTAGGTTTAATGTAACATCCTTTACATGTATTTATGTTTAACTGTGCTGTACAATAATTTATCTTGCTAGATATGCTTCACTGCTTTCTAACCTTTGTGGCTTGGATAAAATATTATTATGAATGGATGTTTTAACACCTGTTGAGCAATGAAAGGTCCATTTGTTTTGGGAGTAATCAGTATATAAAATAGATCTGATCTTTCCAAATGAAAGAATTAAAAACAGTTTGCCATCTGTAAATATCTGAGAGAAAAAAAATTTTCGACACTTAATCTATGGGATTTTTTGTCTGCCAGGTGAAAATTGTTTGTCAGAATGCTAGAAGAGTATAGCAATATGGAAGTTTCCCCTATCTTATCCTTGGTATTAGATGTATGTTGAATTTTGTGAGGATTTTTAATGACCAATCACTCAGCAAGTGCATGCTCAGCATTGACTGCTGGGAAAACGCACTAGACTTTCCCACACGATTTTTTTTTTTTCTAGGTGAAACATATGATGACTCATTAATGGCTTAATTTAAAACCTTAAGTCATTGCTGTATGTATTATAATTATGTTATGAGATTAGCTCGTTGGTCAAGCTATTTAGCAGAAGAGATGTGGCATGTTAGGAATTCAAATTTGATGTATTCTTCTCGCATTTTCTCATCAAAACGCATCATTGCATTTACATCATTCTACAATCTTGTAAGATTAGTGATACTGAATCACAGACCATTTTCTTTAAGACCAGAAACAAACTATATTTAGCCTAAGTACACAAACAACAAACCTCATCATGTCACATTTCTGAGTGAAACGTATTGAATGCAAAAAAATGTTGGCCAGAGTTTGATTTAATGAGGAATTAAATGTGCCGTGAGAGATTTAGATCAGATAACTGACCATAGAAAAATGTTTACAGTTTACTTGCTATGAGTTAAAGCCCCCCTGTGGTGAAAATCAAGATTTTAATGTTGCCTATATGTCTATGTGGTGTTTTAATATGCTTTAAAACAAACCATGTGCAAATTCATAAGTCAACACCATTGCTGAGTATTTTCTCTTTAAAACTGCAGTGAACCAAAGACAGTCTCAAAAACAGCGGTTTGAAATCACAAACTATACCTTGTAACCAATCACGACAATGTGTGATCGAGTGGATCTCCGAGCTGGTGCGAGTGAGTGGAGGCGGGGCTAATTTGCATATTCATAGAATCGCGTATACTAAACGAAGCAAGGGTGTAGAGTTACATTCAAGCTATTTTAAGGCATTTCAAGGAAAAAAAACGTTTAAATATGTAATTTTGGTGATTAAAGATTCGTTTTTAGGGATAAAAGGGGACTTTGGGGGACTTTAAGAATTGCATTGGGATGTTTTGGAACACAATAACACATGAAATTGAGCTAGTTAGAAACGTTTGCATTCATGAAATTCGTGTACTTGCATATTAGCTATATAATACGTTTCGTACTATTTCCAGCCATACCATACCAATAGTACCAACAATAAACTCTAACATGCATGCATATACAAACTCTCTTTCTCTGTCTCCTAACAGGCATGGATTGTGCAGAGGAGGAGGTGGATTTTAACTGGGAGGAGTACCTCGAAGAGACTGGAGCCACTGCCGCACCTCACACTTCATTCAGACATGTGAGAACACATAGACAGAATGTCTCAATATATTTATTTATTGAACAATATCTTTAATATGCCTAATATTCAGCTGCACATTTAAACTAAATCTAGTATATCTAGTGTGTTGAGATTAGGAATGCAATGGCCAAGACATTATGACATTATGTAGGCTAAATAAGATGTTCATTGTACAGTCAGCTTAATTGATTTGCAGAACTTTGAGAGATTGCAATGATTTGAGATGAGTGACAGCTTAGTGATTAAAGGGAGCGCTTTTATGCACGCTTTCCAGGCGATAATCCGTTCAGAATTTGAAGAAAACGTATGTTTTGCTGCATTAGTTAAGGCAATGGTTAGGCTGTTTATTGTTCGAACTGGTTGGCATGCCAAATCATGCTTGCCTGTTGAAATGATAGTGGTTTGTGAACATAACCACTTTAATAACAAGAGCGTAATTTCATGACATTGTGTTTAAATATGATTTTAAGGAGGAATCACATCTAGCCTTATAGAGTTGGTTCACCCTCCGCCAATGGTTGTGAGGATATTTTTGAAAAGGATTTTTAGTCAAGGTCTTGTATTGGCAATGCAAGAGTCCAGCACTCTGTAAAGTCTCTTCCAGCACATCCCAAAGACTTTCAATGAGCTTAAGGTCTGGACTCAGAGGTGCTAATTCATGTGTGAAACTGATTCTTCATGCTCCCTTCCAACCATTCTTTCACAATTTGAGCCAAGTTGTCCTAAGACAAGAACGGGTATTGTTCAAAATTCATGTATAACTTTAATGCAAGGTTTTGATCCACTTCAAATGTTGACTACTGTATATATATACTATACATGAGCAGACGTGTAAAAAAATTTTCACTTTGAAAAGTGAGCAAGGCTACAAATACAACCCAGACAACATGAAATACAGGTTAGATTTGATGCTGTGTTGGTTTGCTACTTGATGCCAAATTTGAGCCCTGAAGCAAAACCAGTTGAGAATCACACCCATTACAACGGTTATTTTTTTTTTTTTTTTTTTTTTTTTACATTTTAAAGCCGTCAATAAGCCCATACTTTTTTCATGGAGGAATACTTATTCGTCTGATTGAACCCTCACAGGTGGAGCTCAGTCTTCAGAGCAGTTTTCAGCCTGGAATGAAGCTTGAAGTAGCTAATAAGGGCAGTCTGGATACATATTGGGTGGCCACCATCATAACCACATGTGGTCAGTTGCTATTGTTACGCTACTGTGGCTATGGAGACGACCGCAAGGCTGATTTCTGGTGTGACGTCATGACAGCCGAACTTCATCCCGTCGGCTGGTGCGCTCAGAACAACAAAACGCTTCAGCCCCCTGAAGGTAAGGCGCAAACGCACTCAAACTAAGTCCAACACACATTCAGAGATACATGTCTATTTAAACACAGATTAAGTTCATTTTAAAGCAGTCCCTCCCGTCTAAACAATTGACATTCAAACACACACACACATGCATTTCCTCTGACTAGAGCGGCCCACCTTGTTTATTCTAATAATCAACGGCAGAAAGGGTTTAAATACTAATAAACAAACAACGCAAAGTTGTATGAAAATACACGCATTGTGAGCACCATGAGATTTCATGTACGGTAGCTTCTGTAACAGCTGGAAAGTCTTTAGGTTTAAATGGATTATCTTCTCCCAACGGTTGGATTGATTCTTTGGAACTGGATTCTGGTTATCAATGTTATTCAGTGGACCATATCATTTCTTCATGAACTTTAACCCTGATATCAATGTTCAGGCAAAAAACAGCACCGGTAATCAGGCACACTTCTTTATATTAATCCAGCGCTTGCTATTATATGCGTGTTTATATGCGTGTCACTTGCTGCTTTTGGGGAAGTTCTTACCGTAGTCTCGGAAATATAGTCGAATGCTTCACACAATGTTTATTTTGTCATGTTGGTCAAGGTGAAATTGTTTGTTTGCTATAGACCAGGGATAGCCAATCCTGTTCTTGGAGAGGTTCAGATCCAACCCTCTGCAATTATCAAGTGCTTCTGAAGATCTTAATTAGCTGCTTCAGTTGTGTTTGATCAGGGTTGGATCTGAACTCTGCAGGATCTCCAGGAACAGGATTGGGCACCCTTGCTATAGACAGTCCATGTCAGGATAGAGGCCCAAATTTAGTTAGAGAAGGGTTAAGGTACGTAAAATGTTCTATTCGAATGGAAACTGGTCAGGTAAATGTTTAGTGAAGAACACGTGGACAAGTTACTCATTTGTTGAAGACGTTCAGCATCCTGAACAGCAGATTCATTGGAGTAGAATAAAATAGAATAAGAATTAGAAATGAAATTCTTGGAAATGTCTGTCTGTGGAGTTAATGTGCTGTGCGACTTGTAAAAACGGCCAAGATTAGTAGTATACTGTAAAAAAATGATATGACCAAAAAGTTATGACAACACGTGATTTTAGGTTGCTTTAACTCATCAAAATAAGTTAAGCAATTTTCATCATTTTTTATGTTATACAAGATTCACCTCATTTTTTAAGTCAGTTTAATGTAATTTAAGTTGATTGTACTTAAACATTTTAGGCAGCAATTTGTTTTTACAGGACAGGTATGGGTTTATTGGAAAAAAAATATCTACATGGGGGAGAAATGAATTATTAAACTAAAAGTTATTTAATATTGTTCAAATGCTATAAATGCAGTTGCTATAAAGAATAATATGTTTGGTTTTCTACCACAAGTAGTAGTAGTAATAATGTAAGAAATGAAAAATATTGATGTATAATGTTACATATTTAAATGATAAAAAACCTGATAATTGAATGGAGATTTGGATCAGAACTTTAAAATCGTGATTTTCATGTTTGTAGAAGTCATTTAAATGAATTATAATTATTATTTTTTTTAAGTCATGGAAATGTCCATATCATTTCTTTCTAGTTAGGGGCCATGCACACAGAATGCATTTTTGCTTTAAGACGCGTTTTCTAAAAGTAGCACTTCTTTTAACTTGAGCGTTTTTTGGACGGGTCAAGTGGTCAAAACTTGTCTGTCTAGCGTGTTTACATTGAAAAACAATGGAAAAGTAGCGCAGTGGAATGTAAAAACGCGTTCTGTGTGAACAACCAGCTCAGCTCTTTCTAGAAAATTATTTGCAAAAATCACAAACGAGTGGAAAAAAATCCATTGATTGGTCAAAGGTGGGGGAACCTTAACACATGTATAACTGTTCTAAGGCCATAGGCCGGTCATGACCATTTCAGGATTATAGACATTCATTGAGGTACTTTGGTAAAGCGGAACTTTGCCGTTTGCCTGCAGATACTACAACAGATTTATGATGTGTCTGGAACATGTGGTGTTAATAATATACACAGTGCTCTTAGATGTACTGTATTTTATTATATCATGCCATTAATATAAACTTGTGGCCTGATCTCTTCCAAGACATCTAAAATCATAATTTGGTGGATTAACTAATGTTTGACAGACTCAATATCTTTACGAACCACTGCACACTCCAGATAATAGGGATTGTTCCAATTTTTAAAGAGTAATTAGCTAAATTGTTAGTCACCATGAAATCAAAATTTACAATTCTAATTTTTTAAATGTACTATTGCAGTATTTATTATAAATGATTTATCCGTGCACATCGAGCGACATCTCTTTTTTTTTCTTTTTTTTACTGATGATGTGTTTACTTGCATGAGGGCGGGACAACGTGTCAATCACATGACATCACAGCAATAGCAAATGATCCAACAATCTTCAAAATCAAGACCTGCCTTACTTTTTTTGTTTTGTTCAAAAGCTGTTTCATTCAGATATACGTCATAATACACTATACAAAAAAAAAAAACATTAAGTTTATGGAAAAAATAAAAACTGGCATTAGTGGTTGCCAGAAATTCACTACAAAAAAATACTGTGACAATGTTTCCAGTTTTACAGGATGCATGTATATTTTACAACTTATAACCATATATTTCATAGAGTGATACAATGTTAATATACCTACTTTAAGTACCAAAATCTGCCCTTTTACCTTAAAATGTACCAATAATCACCACAATAATACTAGTGGCACAATAGAACTCACATGACATGATGTTCAAAACATGTTTAATGTTCGTATGTGGTGCATATAAAGACAAAACACCATCAGGGTAACACACATCACTATAATAATGCAATAAACATTAACTAAATAACATAAAATATAACACAAAACGTAGTAATGTACATTACTACAAAAATAAAAATAAACAAAATTATTTATAAAAAAAAATGAATCATATGTGATGTGTAATGCAGGGATTTCTGGAAATGTCCTTTTACTTATTTTTCATTGTACATTATAATTCATAGTTTTCACTTCACTGTAAAAAAATGTGACAAGTTATGACAACTGATTTTACATTGCTTTAAGTCATCAAAATAAGTCCATTTTCAACTTGTTTTTATGTTATACAAGATTCAACAAATTTTTGAAGTCAGTTTAATGTAATTTAAATTGAAATGACTAAATGACCAAGTTGATTGTACTTAATTTAAAGCAGGATTTTTTTTACAGTGTTGCAAAAAACATAAATTTTACAGGATTTTACAGTAAAATTACATATTATGTGCTGTTATACCATTTACAGTTTTTCATGGTAAGGCAACTTACATGAAGTTAACAGTTTTACTCTAGCATAACAGTATTTATCTTTAAAAAAGGGAAAGAAAAACTATCGCAACCTCTGTTTCATTAATACGTTATAAGAATCTGACCATACCCGTTTTGCTCAAATCAGAAAAGGTTATTTTGGCAGAAAAGGTTGTGAACTATAAAGATAATCTGTCAAACAAAGTGTTCTAATTGACAGACGCATGCTTGACAGGTCTAACAAAAACAACAGGCAATGCTGATCCCAATTATGGTAAAATATTACGTTACAACTAACCGTTTAAGGTTTGAGGTGTGTCAGTAGCACATTCATATTTTCTCTTCCAACCTTATACATTTCATGTACTTGATTGCAAATAGTCATGTGTTGCATTCGGTGATTATCATTTTGAAGGAGTTTATTTTGCGATAATAACCAGCTGACTGTATATTTTTAGTAGGATGCATATCTTCAACAATGAGGAAATTATGCCATTTGTATTTGACTGCAGTGTTGGATGTTTGTCATTTAAATTGAAAATGTATCTGTTTAATACATCCTTCAATCGTGCATATTAAAACAGTATTCCATGTTAAATCCTCTATGGAATACAGTATGCATAATGAAAAATTCAACTCTATGGAAAGCATTTGTGGAAGGTGTCAGTAGCCATGTTTTCATCCACTTATTTTTATGCACATCGCATAAAAGAAACGCTTGATGGAAAGGCCAAAATGCGCATAAATTCTAAAAATGCACATAAAAAAAACGTATGGACTCAACTGATATGGAAAAACTTTTTATCGGATGAGAAAATATGCGCATAAACTACGATGGAAATACAAAAAAGACATTTGACTTTGGCGATGGGACGGCATAACTGAACCGACCAACATCTCGTTGCACAGCGAGATAACTTTATCGTTTCGCACTCTCAGGCGCAGGTCATTTATTATATACAAAATGATTATATACAGTGCAGCAACTTTCATTTTTCTTAGTGATATTTAGCGCCAGTTAATCAGGAAGTGATGATTTTGTTCTCTTCGGCTCACTGGATGGAAACGCGGCTTTATTCGCAAATGTTTTATGCAATATTCCAAGTTAAATTCACAACTTTGGATGGAAACATAGCTAATTACCGCTGAAAATACGTTCATTTTTATGTCAGTTTGAAAAAGAAAAGAAAAATGTATGTGTACTCAGGTTGCATCAGTGAAAGTACATTTGTTGAACATTTTTTGTATCAGCTAGCGCTTTACAAATGCTCTCTATATAGCTTAAATTACTATGTATAATCAATCTGAAACATTAGTTAAACTTAATGTATATGAAAGTGTACGTAAGCCCTTATATATTTATTTTAAGCTATGGTAATGAATATGCATTTAGGTTTACTTTATGGCCATTTCTTTATTTCTTTTTTAGTGTAAAGTTGCTTAAGTTGTTTGTCTGTTTTTCTCTCTCTCTGTGTGTTTGTGTTTTCAGAAGAAATAGATCAAATCTGTGTTTGCATTTCTAAGATAAGATGAAGTTTGATAGACAAACACAATCAACGTTCACTCTCATACTTCAAATATATAGAATCTTTGTGGTTGAAATATTCTTCAAAATGGAACTAATGTTCAAGAATAAAGAACCCATGAAAAGGTTTTACGGGTGCTGTTTACTTTCCTGTGTTGATATGTTGAAACAGGAAGTTGGGGCGGGACATACCAAAACACTCCTCCCCCTTTTTTTTGTAACTGTTTACATCACAGCTCTATAAACCACAGAAAGACATTTCTTTCCCAACCATCAATTGAAAACTGAATTGCAAAAGGAAATAAATAAATGAAATAATGTATGACAATTAGCATAAGCAGAGATAAACCATAATTTGCTGTTTTATGTCAGGGACAGATGGTATTTATTTATAACGCATTTATAATTTAGGGTTAAATTGAAATTTTCTTTGTAGAGATGTAAAATACAATTTTCTTTGTATTTTATTGGGCATTACTTCTAGCATACAGATGTTAGCCTAAAAGCTAACAGACATGGACTGAATTTTCTGAAATCCTCTGATATCAAACACTTCCCCATATATATGTGAAAAACAGAGTAGTACGTCTGAATACACAGCATTCGAAAAAAAGCAGGCAAAAAGTACACTGTAAAAATTATATGATCAATAAGTTATGACAACATGTTTTTACATTGCTTTTACTAATCAAAATAAGTTAAGCAATTATCCCAACTCATTTTTTTAAAGTCAGTTTAATGTAATTTAAGTTGAAGCTACTTAAACATCCAAGTTGATTGTACTTAAAAATGTAAGGCAGCAACTTTTTTTTTTTTTTTTGTACTCCTTTCCCCCGAGATTCTGAAATGCGCATTCGATGGACACTTTACTATCCCATGAGGCCACTGGAGAGGGTTTATGAATGATGCCGTAGGTCACATGACAATGACAACAAGGCGAATGTAGTGCATCCGAATTGCATTCATATCACACATTCATACTATACGGAAAGTACGTTTTTAACGGCCGCAAAGTACATTTTAAACCAGATGTTGTACCTACTACACAATATGCGATTTCGGAAGTCTTTAAAGTGATTTAGAGGAGGATATGACATCATAATACATTTGAATCATTCAGTCAGTGAACAACTGCAACATGTATCGCTGTAATTTACATCATGTGTTTTGACAGGAAAGCAACTGATGATAGAAATAGTTCTTAAGCGTTTAATCAAATGGTTTATGGAAAACTATTGTCATCATGAACCATTTACTTTAGCAAAGTTAATTTCAGTGAGTGCCAGAAGACATATGACTAAATGAAATGACTCGTGCAAATGTGAGTAAACCCCATTAATTAGGTTTTATAGTGTGTACAGAAGCTTAATTAAAAAAGAAATGTGTAGGCGCAGCCAGGAATATTGTTTGTTTAACCATGTTTGATTAGCATCAAAAAAGTAGTGGTTTGTTTGTACGTGCGTGAGTGTGCATGTATAGTGTGTATTTGTTGGTCATCTTTTTTTCCTGTCTGTTTATTTCTCAGATAACGTTTACCTCAGAGCAGGTAAGCCGAGCCTCTACTTCTCTCTTTCTCTCTCTCTCTCTGTCCTCTCTTCTCTCAGACCAAGGGCATAGCTTTGGTTTTAACATTTTCATATCTAATAAGCAGAAGCACCATGTTTTCACCATATGATACTTGTTCAGAAAGAGCGCTTATATTGTACAAGTAGCCCTATGTAATATTTAGATGCTTAAGATTTTTTTTTTTTAAATAAATCTGTAAACACAGCTCTTGTTCATATTATACAGTGTAATCTAAAAATAAATCTTACATTTGTTATTTAATAATGTGATTTTATAGACACCAAAGAGGCACCAAAAGTCACAAAAATGATGTGTAAATATGTATGTAGATAGGGACTTGTATGCCAATGTAAATTATTTGTATCTTAAAAATAATGTAAAAAGGTGTTGTCTAAAACAATGGGGAAGAAATTGCATTTTATCACATCTACAGTTCCCACAGATCATTTACATTTTACTGTAAATTCTGTCATCATCTACCCACTCTGTGCTTCTCGTGGAATCAAAATGTCAAAGCTGCTCTCTTCCATGCAACAAAAAAAGCATAAATATGACTTGCTTGGTGTGTTAAAAACACGATTAGGTCAGAATTGTTCTTCTTTCAGACTAAACAAACTGTATTACTATCCAGTAGTCTCTTTTAAATGGCTTAAGAATTCAAATTCCTCCAAACCGGTTTGACTTTCTTTCTTCCATGGAACATAAAATGAGAAATTGTGAAGAAAATTCTAGCCGCTCTTAAGTTTTTTTTGATGAACAGACAAAATTGAAGTTTGTCTGTCCCTTTTTGTCAGGAGCAAATTGTTATTTTATTTCTAATTCTTCTTACTTTTCCTTTTTAAGATTAGAACTCTGATAAGATTAGAACTAAAGATTCCCTCTGTTCGCACACAAAGCTATTGTATGACTTCAGAAAATTTGAAACATGGCACACTGATCACATTGACAACATTTATGATATTCATTATACATTCATTATAATTACATGAAAAAGAGTGAGTACATTTTTCAAAATTGCTCTCTCTGTGTTCCATGGATGAAAGTCTAGTTCTTCAACTTTACAACTGTACCCAAATCTACGCCCATGTATCAAGATGCATGATTTATCTGTCTCTGTCTATCCTGTTACGGATCTTTTCATATCTCTTGCCCCATCTTTCCCAGGAACCCTCCAGAATTCTTCTTTTTTCATTCCTCAACTATTTTCTGTTTATCTTCCTTCCTTGTTCCTTATGCCTGTTTGCTGAGTTCTATGTGTTAGGTGAAGTATGTACGAGTGTGTGAGAGAGAGGTGTGAAGCTCATGGTATAGTGTCAGTGTGAGCTTGTGTATTTGCATGCATTTGTGTAGCCGAGACGCACAAAGTTAAGGCAACTCTGGAGGTCATATGTAAAGTACTCAGCCTGGCATGCTTCAGATGCACGCACACGTTTGCATGTATATCATTTTAAACATGTTTTTTTTTCTGTTTCTGTGGCCATGGAGTTAAATGTTCGTATATCATGCATTTGTCGGTCGGTACACACATTCATTTTAACAGTTCTGTAGCTGCCGGGGGAGGGGAATCACACTATAAAAAAAAAACATTATATGATCAGTAAGTTATGACAACGTATGTTTTTACATTGCTTTAACTCATCAAAATATGATATAAAATTATATTAAAGTCATACAAGATTCAACTGAATGTTTTAAGTCCGTTTAATGTAATTTAAGTTGAAATTACTTAAACATCCAAGTTGATTGTACATAATTTAAGGCAAACAGTCCATAAAGAGAAAGGTTTAAACCAGAAAATGTAAAAAAATCTATACATAAAATTAAATAATAAAATGAAAGTACAACTACTTATTATAAATAAAAATAAAATAAATCATTGAATATAGGTCAAATTATAATGTATACTGTGAAATATGAATATTCATTATGAGATCTGATTGAGATTACATTTATTATGCAATTGCAATTGACGGAATTTCAACTTCAACTCTTTTTTTTTTAAATGCTGGCAAGGAAGAGTTAAATTATGAGTGTTTATTATTATCATTAACTCTGTGTGTTCGCTTATGGCAACCTAATCGTAATCTACATGTTAAAATTGGGGAAACAAGCACAATTTTATATCCAGTAATAAATCAAAATATCTCTAAAATAGGCTGATAACCGATTTGGTACCGATATATTTTGCATCTTTAACAGTGTTTAGTATTATTATACTATTATATTAGTTATTATTATTATTTGAATTAACATTTATTTTTATATTTTAAGTTTTATATATATATATATAATTCAGTTTTATAGTAATTTTGCTTTTGTCATTTGTCAATAGTTTTTTATTTATATTTTATTTACATATTTCTATATCGTTTGATTTATTTTTATTTAAGTTTTAGTATCTTTCATACTTCAACTTCATTTATTAAGCAACATTTCAAAAAAAAAAAAAATTGTGTGTGTAATATTTATGTGTTGATCAGCTTAAAAATTATTTTTAATGGTTTTAGTTAATAACAACACTGATCGATAAACCACAGTTCTGTTCAAAAATGTAAATACATCTTGCAAAATTGGCAAGATATTTATCATGTTTTAATAAAAAAAAGGATCCTACAATTCATTATTCATATATTCCACAAGACAAATAATAACTGATTTTTCTTTTTTTAACGACTATTCTGTTCAAGTAATTCCATTCCATTGGTTCTCCTTTTCTGTTTATCGTCTTTTGTGATGTTGTGTATGAGTCGTCAGTTTCTCCTGAGTAGCAAAGCTGCCTACTGTTCTTGACAAAAAGCCTCCAGGTCCTGTAAGTTCGTTGGTTTCCCAGCATACTCTGCACATTTGATTTCTTCCCCACGGTGACTTTATGATGTTGAGATTCAGCTTTGGCACTCAGAACAATTGAAGGACTCATACAGAACTGTTACAAAAGGCTGCAAGCAGTCATTGATTCTCAAGGAGACACCATGATACTAAGAACCAGGCATATGTAATAAAGTTTTGAAAAAGATTGTTTGTGTAAATGAAACTATTTCATAAAGTAAGTGCACCCTCACTTATCTTGGTTTCAATTCGACTAGGACGTGACAGCAGTTTCGACTGATTCAAGCCATTTAGCCAATTTGTTCATTAAAAAGAATCGAGTAAACAGAACCCCAAAGATCTGAATTCTTCATCACTATATTAAATAAAAAGAACTTGTTTGCACTTTATTTTATGTGCACTTACAGTGTACTTACCTAGGAAAGTACTGGGTAAAATAAGGTAACTAGTGTTAAGGTTATGGTTTAGTGGTAGGATCAGGGTTAGTACCTTAGTTTTTACCCAGTTATTGTTATTACTATAATAAGTACATGGTATGTTTATGTGGAAAATAACTGTAAGACAAGGTTATATCAAGAACAGATTCTGGACTAATGACAAAAACAGCCACTTTGATTTTTCACAGGTGTTTTACCCGTATTTTGAATTACACATCGCATTGCCTTGTATTTTAGGGAAACTAAGACAAAGAAACACACGTGACGGATGAAAATCCACGAAAACAGAACTGAGTATATAACATTACCTACCTTTTATTTGTAAATTATGAGAATTTTTGATGTAAAAATGAGTGTTGTCAAATCGATTATATGTACAGTATCTCACAAAAGTGAGTACACCCCTCACATTTTAGCAAACATTTTAGTATATCCACTCAAGGGACAATACCATAGAAATGAAACTTGGATATATTTTAGAGTAGTCATTGTGCTACTTGTATAGCAGTATAATATATACTGTCCTCTGAAAATAACTCATTATTGTCAAAATAGCTGGCAACAAAAGTGAGTACACCCTAAGTGATAATAGCTGTGCGTCGTTTAACCATGCAAAGCCACGTGTCCTATTCATCATGTCCGTGTTTTTGTCTGCTTGACAGGACCATACAAATTGTTGTATCTTGTATTAGAGCAGTTCAAATGTGTGCTTTGAGTACAATTCTCTCTGGATGTTCGACAAGGCACCTCATGGCAAAGAACTCTCTAAGGATTTGAGAATTAGAATTGTTGCTCTCCACAAAGATGGCCTAGGCTAAAAGAAGATTGGTAACACCCTGAAACTGAGTTACAGTTCAGGCCAGGGTAATGCCGAACACTGCAACAAGTCGCTTTGCATGGCCGTCGTCCCAGAAGGAAGCGTCTTCTGAAGCTGGCTCACAAGAAAGAAGCCCTGGTGAGGAGTACCAAGAAAACTGTGTCTTGCCTACAGTCGAGCATGGTGGTGGGAGCATCATGGTCTGGGGCTGCATGAGTGCTGCTGGTACTGGGGAGCTGCGCTTCAGTGAGAGAAACATGGATTCCAACATGTACTGTGACATTCTGAAGCAGAACATGATGCCCTCCCTTCAGAAACTGTGCCGAACGGCATGATAACGACCCCAAACACACCGCCAAGATGACAACTGCCTTGCTGAGGAAGCTGAAGCTGAAGGTGAAGGAGTGGCCAAGTATGTCTCCAGACCTGAACCCTATTGAGCACCTGTGGAGCGTCCTCAAGCGGAAGGTGGAGAAGCGCCATGTGTCCAACATCCAGCAGCTCCGTGATGTCATTATGGAGGAGTGGAAGAGGATCCCAGCAACAACCTGTGCAGCTCTTGTGAACGCCATGCCCAGGAGGATTAAGGCAGAGCTAGATAATGGTGCTCACACTAAATATTGACACTTTGGACACAGTTTTGACATGTTCACTTTTTTGGGTGTACTCACTTTTGCTGCCAGCTATTTTGACAATAATGGCTGTACGTTGAGGAATTTTCAGAGGACAGTAAATATTATACTGCTATACAAACAGCACAATGACTACTCTAAAATATGTCCAAGTTTCATTTCTAGTATTGTCCCTTGAGAAGATGTACTAAAATGTTCGCTGAAATGTGGGGTGTACTCACTTTTGTGAGATACTGTATATGCACACACACATACAAACTCACAGTAAGGTTCAATAGTTAACATTAGTTAACTCCCTTAGTTAACATGAACTAAGAATGAACTGCCCTTCTACAGCATTTATTAATCTTAGTTCATATTAATTTCAACATTTACTAATACATTATTAAAATCAGAGGTTGTATTTGTTAACATTAGTTAATGAAATGTGAACTAACATGAACAAACAATGAACAGCTGTATTTTTATCAACTAACATTAACAAAGATAACATGCGTATGTTTTGCTCATTGTTAGTTCATGTTAGTTAATAATATAATAGATTAACTAATGTTAACTAATGAACATTATTGTAAAGTGTTACCCCAAACTTTTATGTTAGATGCTATTAATCACGATTAATCGATTTGACAGCACTAGTTCAAATCATACTAACACTATAAGTGCACATCAGGAAAAATTATATATAGCCTACAGTATATATATATATATATACAAAAATGCAGTTCATGGCCCTTTAAATAGTTGGCATGAAGTAGTTCAAGAACTAAACATTGACATTGGCTTACAGTTGTGGGCCAGATTAACCATGGGTCATTGGGCACGTGCCCATATGGGCGTCATGCAAGGCAGTATAAATATTTTCAATTGTGCAATGGCCAGAGGCGGCCAAAAGCAAAGTAAGAGGAATACCGTACTTGGAAAGATAGGGGGATTTCTGACATCAACCAACAAATGATTACATTTTGATCAAATATTTCACACTTTTTGTTTAATTGGACAGGGGCCGGTTGCATAAACTGCTAAGACTAGTCTTAAAGGTTAGTTGTCACATTTTTTTCTTTAAGACTGTTCATAACTGTTTAAAGCCACTTACATAAAAAATGTAGACTGGTCTGGTCTAATTTGATACTAAAAAGTAAGACTGAACGCCCCTTGACTAACTGCTAATTGGTCATACTAGTACTTTAGACAGTCTTAACATAATGACTTTACTTTTTACCAAGTAAATAAGGTCAAATTCGCTTCACCTGTGTTAAACTGAATCAATTATTCATTCATTCATTTATAAAGGTGGACGTTTAACAGCTATTAAGCATTCAGGAAGCTACTAAACACACACGCACTCAAGCACACATGGAATATAAAGGCCTAAGATTAATCGCATAAATATGTGTTGAATTTCATTGTCATGCGCTAATGTGATGAAATGATCCCGTTCCAGTGAAGAGTGTCGAACACACGGCCTGAGCCGAGCGCTTAGACGCTGGGGGGTTGTTGGCATGGCAACGGTCGCACACTCCCGTACTCAAGCGATTAGCGTACACACTCGTGCTGCAGAGATTACACGCTGGGACACAGCGGCGTTTTGCCACAAGCACTCTTTCACACACACACACACAGTCAGACTCAACTTTTTCTTATTGGAGCTATTTGAGCTGAATTACAGTAGTGCAGGTCTTACACACACTAATATTGTAGCCTAGTACTGTGATGCTTCACATTATTTTATTGCTACTTTTGTGATGGTTTTATATAGTGATAGAATATATGGTTAGACAGATCCTTCATATATTTCTGGTCAAATTATTAAATCAAATGCTAGGGAAAAATGGCTTCTTGTGGGTGTTTTAAATAAAATCGTATTCTGTAGTGGATTTTTTTTTTTTTTTTTGCATTGTATTAAATTTTATATGAAAGTCAGGATGAATGATTAAACCCTGAATATCAATAAAATCTAAATCTAATGTGTTTCAGTAATATATATATATATATATATATATATATATATACAATTCTGTATTATAATTATAATAATTTTAAAATAATTTTATAAAATTTTTTAACTTTAAGCAACCTTAACTTAACATTAAAACAATACATTTGTTACACTATAATAATGTTTTTAATTTGTACTTTTTTGATGTTACTTTTAATATATATTAATTTAAATTCCTTATTATTTTAGTGTACAGAAAATAATTACAATTAAAAAAGCTTTAATTGTTAGTATATATATTTATGATTTATATATATTTGATTTGCCATAATTTTTCTATAAAAATAACTGCAATTTAAGAAATAACAATGCTTTATTTGTTACTCTTACATAATTACTTACAATTGTATAATTGGAAAAAATATACTGTATAATTATTTTACTATACAATAAATAATAACAATAATATATATATATATATATATATATATATATATATATATATATATATATATATATATATATATATATATATATATATATATATAATTTAATCTACTAAATCAAATGTTCAGTGGGAAATAAAATATACTGAAGAATAGGGTGTTTGTGGGGGTTTGGATAAATAATAAAATAAAAAAAACACAAACCAGTCAAATATCCTTGAGTTAACTTGATTAAGCAATGACCTTTTTGCTGTTAAAAATAGTATCCTGGATGTACTATTGGCAGGCAAACAGGAAATGGTGTTATCCACTTCAGAGACACAGGACAGGTTGTTTCTACTGTAACAGTGAGTCAGTATCACAACACTGCTCTTCCTTCAACTCACAGTGTTTTGTTCCCCTTCCTCTCTTGAATAATTGCCTTGATTACATGAGCGAGAGAAACTCTTTAAATCTGGCCCGCTGTTTACAGAAGAGTTGTTGGAAGATATGCAAATCTGCTTTTGCATAATGAATATTTGCATAGAGACTCCCTAGTGCGGAAAAAAGGAAATGCAAACGGGTCGTGTCTCTTTGAGTTGTTGTAAATTATGCATTTATTTATGTGATCCGAACAAGTCTGTGCAGCCAAGAGCAATTTAAGAAAACGCGCCACAACGGATTTTAAGTCAACTTTGCAACATATTTAAAAATATCTACAAAAATCTCTTGTAGAATCTCTTGAAGCCATAATTACAATATCACAAGGGGGGAAAACCCCCAATGAGATCTTGTTAATATCTTTTTTTCTTTCTAGACAGCAATTATATTAAACGAAGCAAATGCAGACCTTTGCTTACCAATCGCATTGTTTAAATGGAAATTCCTAAGTTATCAAATAACCAGGCTTGTGGTAAAAAAGTGTGGTGATGAATTTAAAGTGTATCTCTAGTTGCTCTATTCCTGTCTCTAAAACATCAAGTTGAAAGGCACACAATGCAATGACAGAGCGGAAAACACTTTCAATACTGCAAAAAAAATCCTGTTCTTCGTTCACTCCAATTCTACTATATATCAGTCCCATTTATTAAAATGTAACAACTTGCGACATCTCCTACACTGTAAAAAGTGTTCAGTTCACTTACTTAAATGAGTAAACCCGTTGCCTTAAAATTATTAAGTAAATAAACGTAATGCTTAATTGAAAAAATTAAGTTATGTGAACTTGACAATTCCGCATTCATTTTTTCTATTAAGCATGACGTTTATTTACTTAATAATTCTAAGGCAACGGGTTTCCTCAATTTTTATTAAATTATAATAATCATGTAACAATTGTATAATTATTGTATAACAATTATGTAAAAAATCGCATCATGATCCATCTTATGCAAATTTAGCTTTTCTGCTAAATTTGATCTAGTTTTAAGGATTTTAGCTATTTACTGGAAAAGAAGTTGACTATATATTGATCAAGAACATTATTTTTGTGTTGATTTAAGATGATCTTTCTTCAAAAATGACATTACATCAGTAGGATCATTGGCCAATTGTTCACCCTACGACGGGCTCTCTCTCTCTCTCTCTCTCTCTCTCTCTCTCTCTCTCTCTCTCTCTCTCTCTCTCTCTCTCTCTCTCTCTCACCCTTGTGAGTGGTGTCATGTGTTATTGTGCAAAGAGGTTGTGACGTAACGGGGCAGAGACAGTATTTGGCTCTTAGAGTCAAGCTAACAGTCAACAACCATGCTGGCCACCTTGTAGAACTTCAGCTGTGTGAATTCTGCTGATGCAAACATACAGTTTGTGCAGACGGTGCACAACTCGTCATGATTAATGTGTTGTTGTTCTTCTCTAACACGTAACTAACTAGCACTTCTCTCTGTGGCAGTACCATGTAGAATTAGGCAGAAAGCAGGAGGTCTGTGTCCGTTTAGACACTGAAATGCAGAAATTGACTTCTTGTTATATGTGTTCGTAATGCATGTATGAATAATTTATGTGGCTGACCCCATTGGGAAGGAAGCAGCAAGATGTTTGGGAGATATTATCAAACAGCAACGTAATACATTAGTTCCAGTCACAAAACTATGGAATTGTCTGTGTATTTGAATTTATAGTGTGTGGAATTCATGATCTGCTCTTTCTTGATCCGTTTCAGCTATTAAAGAGAAGTACAGTGACTGGGCCGAGTTTCTTATCAAAGAGCTCACGGGTTCACGGACGGCACCGGCTAACCTTCTTGAAGGGGTGAGAATGATGTTACACCTATTTGTCTAGTGTACAAGAACAACAAAAATATCCTTAACATTAACAGTTTTGTAAATGCGTAAAAAAAAACAGCAGAAGTGAGATTTACCAGCCTATCACATGGAACAAACATTGGACCAAATATGATGATAATATCAGCCTATACAAAGTGACAGATAAAACTGCACCACAATAACATAATTCTGTTTATTGCCTACATTATTATCACGCTTGGGTCATGACCCACTGGTTGAGAACCATCGAATTATGGCGAAATTGAAATTTGAAATGGCTTTAATCGGGGTATACGACATTTATTTTGCTGTGAATGAAAACAAGACTGAAATAGATCATGTGATAAGAATATTAGTTATGGGAAAAAATGTATGCTGAGTCTTCCCCAGGGGATTCAAAAGCAGCAACCGAATCAAGAGTTACATGTTAAGTTGCAAATTCCTTGATAAATGATTCACCTAAATGAAGAATATTATTTCTTTGTCTCTCTCATCCTCTCATCTCAGCCATTAAAAGGTAAAAACACAGTGGATCTGATCGTGGTAGGCTGTGTTTTGGAAGTGCGTGATGACTCCGAACCTAGCGTGTACTGGGCCGCACAAGTCCAGTGTAACGTCGGTGGGCGTTTATGCCTCAGCTATGTTGGATTAAATGACCCCGCCCACTACAGGTGGATGTTCTACCTTGACAACAGGCTCCGCCCCCTGGGATGGGCCAAAGAGAATCATTTATCAATGAAACCGCCCACAGGTGAGAGCGTTAACCTGTATTTGATCGGTATGAATGACTTTGCAACTAAACTAAAATATAGCCAGTGTTGATTCAATTGCATAATTAAGTTAAACGAATTGATTAAAATAAATTGTTCAATTGCACTATTGCCAAGTTTTTGATAGTGTACAAAAACGTGTTCCATTGCCACTTTTATATGTACAGCCTGTCTGACTTCCACACTCTAATGATTATGGCTCTGTATACACATTTCCCTAAAGGAAACCTTGCAGACAACATGTTTTCTCATGATCTTGCATTTCTAACAGATATGCTTACGGACTGCATAAGAAATAATTGATATCAGTCAATGTATTAAAAGGTGTAAATGTTTACCTCAAGACGTTTTCTGGCAGTTACTAGTTCAAAAGTCACTCTAGAATTAGTATTGATTACTTGGGCTGTCTAAGCAGTTATTTTGAGAAGAGAGAGAGTGTGTTAGTGTGTGATGATTACCTGCGTCTGCTGTGACTCAGCAGTGTTAAGTGGTAGCGATGCTACAAATAGCCAAGCAATTAGTTTAACTACATGTCTCAATAGCAAGGTGATAGCATGACATTTTAAAATCACGTAGCTTTTCAGTAGCTAAAATATTTGATTGATTACGTATCAGTGTAGCGTTGACAACAAGGTTCTTGTGTCTGTGTGTGCAAGTGAGAGATAGCGTATTTGCTTATCTGTAATATAAATGACTGATTGGCACTAACATTATTACATATTGTACAACAGTTAGTTCTGGGTGGATGGATGACTATTGGGTTGAAAAAATACTTTGATGGAAACTGATAGATAAAATGATGGATAACTGGATCCATAGTTGGTTAAAAGGATGGTTAGATGAATAATTGTGGGTGGATTGATGGGTGGATTGATAAATAGTTGGTTAAATAAATACTGGGATAGATGGAAGGCTGTACGGATGAAAAAATGCTTTGATGGATTGCTAACTGGATGGATGGATAACCATGGATATTTGATTGGATGGATGGATGGACAGATAACTATATGGATACTTGGTTAAATGGACAGATGGATGGATGATGCATGAATGATAAACAGTTAGTTGAATAAATACTTGTTTGGATGCATGGATGAATGGATGGATGGACTGACGGATGGATAAATAGATGGATAACTGTATGGATAGTTGGTTAAATGGATGGGTGGATGGATAGTGGATGGATGATGCATGATAAATAATTGGTTGAATAAACACTTGTTTGGATGAATGGATGACCATGGATATACGGATGACCAACTATATGGATACTTGGTTAAATGGACGGATGGCTGAATTATGCATAAATGATGAACATTCAGTTGAATAAATACTTGTTTGGATGGATGGATGAATGAATGGATGGGTGGATGGACAAAGATGGATAAGTGTATGGATAGTTGATTAAATGGATGGATAGATAAAGGGATGGCTGGATGATTGATAAATAGTTAGTTGAATAAATACTTGTTTGGATGCATGGATGTATAGTATGGATGGATAAGGTGAATGGGTGGATGAAGGATGGATTGATGAATAGTTGGGTGATTAAATAGATGAATAGATAGATGGATGAGCTTGTGTTTCTCTCTTTTACTTTCAGATCACTGTGATTTGAGGAGCAGCTCAGAATGGACTGAAGCTTTAGATCAAGCCACAGCTGAAGCCTTAAACAGTCCACTTCCACTGGAGGTCTTCAAGGTGTGTGTGTGTGTGTGTGTGTGTGTGTGTGTTGAAGGAAGTGAGGCATCATTTTACACAAAGCTCTTGATAACATTCACATCTGATATCTGTATGTGTGTTTCAGGATCATGCTGACTTAAACACACACTCCTTCAGGGCAGGAATGAAGCTTGAAATGGTCTCACCAGTGGAACCCTTCCACATTCTCCCTGTGTCTGTAACTAAAGTACGTTCTTACACACACACACACACACACACACTAGATGAAGGGTTATTATGCTTGAGGATATAATTACTAGCCACCGACCCTGACATCAGGCGTTCTGTGTCTCTCTCTGTCTCACACCAAGTCTCTCTGATCTGCAGATCTACAATGAATACTACTTTCAGATCACAGTTGATGACCTCACTGCCGAAGCCCCGCCCACTTGTGTGGTGTGTCACGCTGACTCACCGGGCATCCTGCCAGTCCAGTGGTGCCTGAAGAATGGTGTTGGACTGGAGAGGCCACGGGGTGGGTGTGACTGTGATATCTCTGTGTGCTAATGGGATTTTAACTATTCATATTCATTTAATAAGAGTCTATCCATGCTGTTTGCCTTAGATCTATCTCACTATTATTTTTAGTTTAGTGTGCTTTATTGGTGTAGAATGGATCTACAGTATCTGAGAATAAAGTTAGTAAGGGGAAAAAAAAGAAAACTTAAGTTAGAAATAAAAATAAAATATAGAATAAATATGAATATTAATATAAAAATGTATATTTATATTCATATAACATTACTAATAATATATTTGATATACAAAGAATTAAGGATGACAGTGCAAATAACTAACTTATTTGCTTATAATATGTCTCTCTCTCTCACTCACTCGCTCGCTCTGCCTCTCTCTATGTCTCATTTTCTGTCAGGCTTTGAGTCACAGGACTTCAATTGGGCGGACTATCTCAAACACAGTGGCACTGAAGCCGCTCCAGATGTGTGTTTCCCAAACGTAAGGCACTTTCTCTCGATTTCCCCTCGTCTTCAGATGACCACGTGTGCGGTTTTGATGTTATCTGAAAGAGGCTTTGGGGATTTCTTGTTAATTAGATCAAGTCTGACGAAAGCGTGCCAGCTATCGGGTTTTCCCATTGCGACGCTGGTCACATCGATACGCACGAGATGCAAAAAAAGATTGCTTTGTTTTTGTGAGAAATACCCCTCCCCTCTTGTGTTTCCAGTTCCTCGTAAAGTTCAAAGTTGACTATTTGAACAATAAGGTTCAAATATATTGCGCGCTATATTTTGAATATATTCGCATCAGGTTAATAAAGTGAAGTGCCATCCCTTCACTATAACAGTGGTTTCCAAATGGTTTTGATGCCAGGGGCTTTAAAATATGATGATTTCCTTGCAAGAGGCTTTCTAAAGTTTATACATTTTGTTTTTGGTCGAATAGTAAAATATGCAAGTAAATATATAAATTGTAAAAAAAAAAAATACAGACAATATGTACTTGCAAAATTAAATATTTTTTTCGTTTTAAGTTATTATTTAAGTTATATTTTGTCTTCCTATTGTTTATTTAATAAAACCTTCATATTTAATGATATATATTTTTTACTTTATAATCAGCATAAATTTTGTTACAAAACAGCATTATGAATATAAATACACACACACAAACACTATATATATATAATATACAAATCATGAAATTAATGCTGCTTAGTAACAATATTTACATTAATTATGTAATTAAAAATATTCTCTAGTTCTCTCTAATATCTACAATACTAGCTGTGATAGTCACTATTCATTTCATTTTATAATATGTGTGTGTGTGTGTGTGTGTGTGCGTGCACATAATATTGTATTCTCCAATTAAAAGTACGTGTTTATATAGTTTGTTAATATTTCATTTTATTTACCAGTATTATCTTAATACAATAACATTGAAATTCCTAGCCTCTGACATGTAAACTAAGGTTAATTAATGTCAGGTTAACTAATGTTTTGCATCATAGCTGTTACTGTATCGTGGGTGTTTGGACAATTGGAATGATGTATTGACCAATCAGCATCCAGCAGTGGTATTTTAAAGCCAAATTCCACTAATTATTTTGGGATTCGAGATAAAAGCTATGACTGCGCGGCTTGTTTGTTGTTTATTTTGCACAAATTATCGGATGTAAATGGTGATAAGTCTTATATAAATGTGTTTCATTAAAACATTTCCAGTTAAAAGGCAATTTTCATTGTTATGTATCTCCCTTGTTATCCTGTTTGTTTGCATTTACTGTGATATTCATTGTTTTGTGTAATTGGACACATGAGGCTTTTCCACTGACCTCTTTTTTTCTGCGTTGCGTGCGATCAGGCTTCTCAAAGCAAGGGCTTCTGTAAGGATATGTGGCTTGAAGCCGTGAATCCACATCAACCTGCTGAACTCTGTGTCGCTCGTATCACTCAGGTCAAAGGTCGTCTTCTCTGGCTCAAACTGGAAGGTAGGAATGAATAGAGCATGTATGTTCGCATTCTTTTCATATTATTTAATAGAAATATTTCGAGCACATGACCTAACAGTGAATACCAAAAGAAATGACACGTTGACACAATTTTTTTTCTCTCTTTCTCTTTGTTTATAGGTCTGACCAAGCCGTTACCAGATTGTATAGTGGATGTTGAGAGTATGAATATCTTCCCTGTGGGCTGGTGTGAAGCGAACGGCTATCCATTAACACATGTACAAAAGACTGTCTGTGAGTGTCACATACTAATGGACTCATTTGTGTCAGAAGTGGAAACATATGCTTTGAGTCTGACATTACTACATTTACAAAATGTTTAAATGCTGCATTAAGAATGGTGTGGAATTTGGCGACATCAAATTTAAACATTAAAAAGGCATAATTCTATCATTTATTTATTTTTAAATTATTGAATATATATATATTAAATATATTTTCCACAGCTAGACCCAGAAATATAATATCTGGTTATATTTTTGAGTGGGTGATGTGTGACATGAGACAATCACAGCCAATTAGAAGATGTTTTAGTGTTTAGACAATCATTAAAAAAAACAAAAACAAAAAAACAGTAAATATCAGGCAATTCTAAAATTATCATTTTGAAATTTCCAGTCAAAAAGTCATGGAAATGAATGACATCATTAAAAGTAATAAAAAAGTCTAGGAAGTATTCAAGTATTCAAAGCCCTTGATTGTTTCACATCTTGTTATGTTGCAGCCTTATGCAAAAATTCTTTAAATAATTTTGTTTTTCACATCAACCTACACTCCTTATTCCTTATTTCATAATAACCAAAAACCTAATTTTCAATTTCTAATAACTTTGCAAATTGAAAGAGAGACTGGCAGAAACATAAAAGGAAAAAAAAATGTCCTTAATGAATATATATATATATATATATATATATATATATATATATATATATATAAATTTGTAATTTTTAAAGCATTTTTAAAAAAAAAAAAAAATCCCCATATATCAAATAAATAATACTAAATCCAAAATGTAAAGATATATAGAATCTACTCCACTTTCATGCAAAACGTTTACGTTCTTTTAAGTTCTGCTAAGAGGTCACGCCATGACATATCTATCTACTATCTTCACATACCAATTTGCAGGTTAGCGTTCACAAAACTGGAACTTTGGAATGCAGTGATATCTGTAACTTCTTTCCATGATCTTTGCGTCTCCGGTCTCCTGCGTTCGCATGGTGGTCTGTTAAAAATGAGGGGTCTGAATGCACTGTATATTTTCATTGTTATGCTCTAAGATCATAAGATGAGATCAGTGCAACATGATGGCAATATAAACCATGCAAAACCTTAAAATGTCCTTTAGTACGTCACTTGTCCTGGCTGCTTATGATAAAAAAAAAAAAAAAGTAATAAGTCATTTATCCAGTACTTATGTGGTACATATCTTATTCTGCTTCTTGAAAGTAATCCAAACAAGACTTCTCAGAATTTCATGGTATTTTTTTTTTTAGAGAACACACAAAAATCCTTGAAACTTCCCTATGTTGCCCTGTGCGTCATGTTTTTTTTTTTTATTGTTTTTTTTATGGTGTTTTCAGGTCTGCCTCAGAAGAAGATTGCTGTTGTTCAGCCTGAGAAACAGTGAGTAGATGTACTCCTCTGGTGGACATTTTTACCCATGAGCCTTTGTGTTTGTGTTGCTAGAAAGCATGGGACGTTAAACCTAAGGCCCTGTCCCAAATGGCGCACTTCATGCGGACTTTCGGTCTCGTGGACTTAAATTGCGCGTGCTTGCCGAGTCTACGAGTCCGTAGGCCGCCCCGTTTAGCATTTTAACGCTCTGAAGTGTGCTCAGCAGCGCCCCCTTTGTACCCTTGAAGCGGTCTTCCGCGAAGCCCGCATAGATGCAGGCTCCACGCACTTTAACTACCCAGGAATCCTTGCGAAAGGCCAATCAGACAACGGATGGGAGGAGATTTCGCTCACGGACAATTGTTAACATGGCTGAGAAGAAAATATTTAAGTGTAATTATCATTACGGTTTTTATGACAAGTTTATACAAACATTATGATCATCGACCAGTGGTTGATGTCTCAAACATAGGCTAATAATAGCGAGCTGAAAAATACGATCGCATTATGATTCATTAAATAAATAGAACAGAATGTCAGGGCTTTACTGAGTCATATGTAAACACAACAACAATAGGCAGCATATTTCCCCGAACCTGTAGCTCCTGTCCATAACAACAATCAGACCGTCTTCCTGTTTCCGGCGTGACGATCGAGTCTGTCCCAAAATATCTCTCAATGCGCCCTCGCGGACTCGCGCTAAGGGCCCTATAGGTCTGCACTACATGACGTCACTGAAGTGTGGACTCTGAGGAAGTCCACAAGTCCGGAGTGTGCCATTTGGGACAGGGCCTAAGTTTACGTCATGCATGTGATTCATCTACTTCCTGTTTTACTCTGTTGTTTTTGTTGTCCATAATATCATTTGATGATTTATTGATTGATTTTTTAGGTTGGTTCCCTCACAGCCTCCTGATGCCCATCTGTGCCCATCCATGGCCATGGATACAGGTTTGACATATTTACTACATATTCTACCAATAACTTCATCCGACCTTTGCATTTGTCATATAACCATTGTCTTCACAAATGGATTTTGTGCTGCTGATATCGCTAATCTACTGTGTGTCTGTGTTGTTTAGGTTTGGTGAATGGAAAGTACTGTTGTTCTCAGCTCTTCATCAATCATCGCTGTTTCTCTGGTCCGTATCTCAACAAGGGCCGAATCGCTGAGTTACCAAAGGCCGTGGGCCCCGGAAAGTGTGCTGTAGTCCTCAAAGAGGTACGATCATATCGATCTAATATAGGAAATTGACGCACTGCGAATTTTTTTTATCAATATGATGTTTTTTTTTTTTTTTAATGTACATAAGGAAAAATGAATATTCTATTAAAATATTTTTGTGATTTCATTCAAATGAGGTCATAAAAGTTACACATACACAGTAATTATGTAAGAACAAGTAAAATGTCATTTATAGGGCTGTTGATTTAATGTGTTAATTTAATTAATTAGTTCTAGAAAAAAATAATGCATAACCCTGAAACCCTGAAAGCCATCTTACATTTCATACAGTTGAATGGTGAGGAACATGAAGCAGGGCTGCGTGATGTAGCCAATAGAATGCCACTAAAATTCACGATTTTTGTCTAATATATCATATGATATTAAGCAATAGTTAAGCAATATCACACTAGTAACGAGCGCAATATCACATCAGTGCTGTTTTTATCCCGAGTGCGAATGTGATGCTGATTTTACACGACAGTTCAATAAATAATTAGTTAATATTGTGTTATATCTTAGACGCAATATTGCCTGTTTTTGTCAACGAAAATATAACATACATCTCTTATTATCGCCATTGAAGCCCAAAAGTGTATGTAATAAATTCTATGTTGAATCAAATGTAATATTTCCTTCTAAAGCAAAATTTTGTAATGTCTATTTGATGCTTTTCTCATTTAACACAATAATGACTTTAAATGATCTTTTGCGGGTAATTTCAAACTTGATTAATTAATCACCACTTTGTGTAATTAATTAGATTTAAAAAAAGTTAGTTATTTAATATAGTTTTTGATTGTCAGTTGTTGTCACACTGACAACTTGCATGTACTTCATATTACAGAAGGTACACATGTGGTTATTTTAGCTGTAGTGTATATGCATGTGTTTGTGTGTCTGAATTTGTTTGTGTATATTTATGTAGCATGATTCATGAAATAAACAGCCTGATCATGTTATTTTCTTGCAGATTCTGACAATGTTAATAAACTCGGCATATAAACCCGGCCGTGTGCTCCGAGAACTACAGATGGTGGAAGACCCACAGTGGAACTGTCAGGAGGAAACCCTGAAAGCCAAGTATGAACACACACACACACACACGCGCGCTCATGTTTTTACCATGAAGCTCATTTTAATTTACACAGATTAATCCTATCAATAAAAGGAAGGAAAACAGCTTATAAATCATATCAAATTATGTTTTTTGAATGTAAAAATGCAGAACGTTTTCTGTGATGGTAGGTTTAGGGTTAGAGGATAGAATATACAGTTTGTACAGTAAAAAAATCATGTCTATGGAAAGTCCCAATAAAACATGGAAACCCAACCAATAATATTACGGATATATTAGCAAACAAACAGAATTGAATTGTGCAATCATAATGAACAGAGAGCTTTCCTTCGTTTGCATAATGAGGTTTTTAAGCCAGCTGATTAGCATATTCATGTGTGGTGAATATGTAAAATGTAATTTTCATAATGTTCTTGATAGTGGAAACTAATTCTGCAGTGAAACACATTTGCTTGTTTCTAGATATAAAGGGAAAAGCTATCGCTCCACCATGAGAATCGTCCGAACAGTGGATCAAGTATCGGAGTTTTGCCGTCGAGTATGCGAGAGACTCCAGTGTTGTCAGAATCTTTTTGGCCCAACATACGTGTCCGACACTTGCCCTGAAAACTGCTCCAGTCAGACCAAGACCAAATACAGTGAGTCTTTTATTCCTACAACAATGAAAAGTTATGTTTTCTCTAACTTGGAATTAAAATGACATGTTTCACAAGCGCAAGGTATTATTTTCTCTAAAAACCCACGCAGATGCACTCAGACTTGCATGTAGTTCTTTCTAACTGGCGATAATTGTGTGTGTGTGTGTGTTTATGTACATTTATCCCTGATGTAGCATATTACAAGAAGAGGAAAGTTGGTCGCCCAAGTTTAGGAGAGAATGCTCAGGACGGTGACATGACCAAACCAGCACGACGCCGAAAGAAACGCAAAGCCATCTTTGTCCAGAAGAAACGGCGCTCTTCTATTGTGGGATACCACACCACAGAGTCACCTCAGGTCTGCCAAACCATTTCAACCCAGACAAAAACACATACTTTCAATTGTAACTCATGAAACCGACTCAAGTATGCAAGTGCATACTTTTTAAATAATATGTTTGAGGCACCTGCACACTAAACAGTAAATGTTGTGACAAAGTGACAAAATCACAGCCAATCACAGCATATTTTATGTTTCATTAACTACTGTATGCAAAGCGGTACTTGGACCAATTAGATTTGTTGTGGGCGGAGCTAATAATTGCACTGTAAAAATCATTTGTTTTAAATAATTATTTAAATCAGTCATTTTTTTCAGTAAAAATATCTAAACCATAAAATAAATGACTTGAGCAAATGTGGAAATATATTAACATTTATATTTGTAATATATCTTTTTTTTTTTGTAGTGTGATACACCAGCCAACTAAAAAACAAAAAAAACTTTTTGAAATAAAAATTCTGACCAACATGAAAAAGATTTGATTAATTGATAGCACATCAAACCTAGTTAAAGGCGTTGTCACATTACCAAAATTTGGTTAAAAAAAATTGTCTACTGTCAATAGTGTAGTAATGCACAAAGCATCGCTCGCACAGAAGACAAATGAATGTAAATTGATGCAGAATCTGCATGGGGAAATATTACACCCTTATGTGAAATTCCCATTTGCGCAGAATCCTATTCAAATGACTAAATTTTGCCAAGCAAATGTAAATATGAAAATATGCAACACTGTTCCTCCACTGTGTCTTTATAGGATAGTGATTATTACTATGATGATGAAGATGAGGATTTTGAGGAGTGGGGCAGTGAGGCCAGTTCCAACTCGCTCCGTGAGGAGGCCTCTGCCCACTCGTTCCAGGACGCCCCGAGGCGAGGAAGACCTCCCCGCCGCGCTGCTCTTCAGCGCAGGGCGACCCATCCGGACACCTCCGACAGGTCCTCTCCCAGAAGAACCACACGCTCGCTTTCCTGCAGCCAGAACCAGACGGCCAACCACACAAACACAAAGGTGAAGTGTCCCCACAGACACACTGTACAGTATAGAACCTTTTGTGTGAATTATTCCCTAAACATAATACCTTTCATTTATAATGAACGCCTAGAGTCAAATTATATTAGCTAAAGTGAAGTGTGCTTGTGTTCATATGTAGACGGAGAGTTTTGAAGAGGAAGATCGTCTGGTGTTGGAGAGGAATCCTTTGGAATGGAGTGTATCTGATGTGGTTGAGTTCATCACGTCCACAGATTGTGCCTCACTAGCAAAGATATTCCAAGAGCAGGTACAGGACACCCAGCTTCACGTGGCATTTCTTTGGCTTTTAATGGCTTTTTTTGGGGCGGCTTTGCTTTCTATGTAGCCAACAGGAAATCATTAGTTACCCTTTTTACTTTATTAATAAATATTCTTGTCTACTGCAGATTAAAAAAACAATCCAAAATTCCAAATCATACATGTACTATCATGGTGTGTGCAACCGAAGCAAACAAGAACAAGCTAAATCTGTCAAATAAAATCCAATATTTATGCTAACTCGTACATGTTTGTTCCTTCTCAAGGACATTGATGGACAGGCCTTGCTGCTGCTGACACTTCCTACAGTCCAAGAATGCATGGACCTTAAGCTCGGCCCCGCCATCAAACTCTGCCATCAAATCGAGCGAGTCAAAGTGGCCTTCTACTCCCAGTACGCTAACTAAGCTAACCTTTAGCCTCGGCGGACGCAGACCGACAGACACCTATGATACTCAGGGGATGTAAGGAGTCGTTCCATCCATCAGGAAACCTCAGGTTGCCTCATACCGAATGGATTGGAATATGAGATTGAGTCAAGGAATATGCTTTCCCTGCAAAAGAAAGAAGTTTAAAGGTGAAGGCTGCGGGTCTAGCTGGTCTCCCAGCCTAGTCAAACTGGTGTTTAGTTGATTTAGCCGGTTGGCCTGCTGGTCAAGTACCCAAAACCTCTCTAAAGCCATCTAAATAGACCAGACTAACTGGTCTCAGCTTCAAGAGTTTCGTTTTTCAGCAAGGTGGTGTGCTGAATCCCTGAAGAAGACTTACCAAACAAGTGGAGGTTTAGGTTTGGTTCCGGAAGAAAGTCTCTATAGGAAGAAGACAACAAGAGGGAACGAGAATACGTCTAAACTGTGAAAAAAAAACATCCAATCCCTGAGTTCACTGCAGAACTATCTGAAATCTTTCAAGACCAAATTATATTTATAATGGCCAATTATATATGAAGTATTAACTTCGGAAGTGAACTAATATATTTGTAATATTTATTTTGTTCTGATAAACTATTTTTATAAAGTTTGTCGTGTTCGTCAGGTGAGTGGAGATTTAACACCTTTAAATCTGCTTTGGGCAACTTGGGCATTATGAATTACGGACTATTATTGATATCAGGACTGCTATTTGATATAAACATACTGTGTGTGTATGCTGAGATGTACATATATATGTGCATGAATGTTGGCTGCATACATAACTATACACACATTTGTTTTCCCAAACGTACATGCCTTGTAACGCATCATTTGTTTCTCTTTAGAATACAAGGGAGAGTGAATTTTTGAAGAGTTGCCTTTTGTCATGGCCTATCTATATTTTATGTAAATGTGTTATTGATCTATGCAACATTGGATGGTTTCTATATATTTTTTTTTTGTTAGTAAACGCTTTCATAGTGATATATTTTTTACTTCTCTGTTTTCTGACACAGTTGGATCACTTCACAAGTAGAATGTATTCAAATTTGATTAACTGCTATTGAAATATTGTCTGCAATCATAAACTTTCATTTCCATTATTGCAATAATGAAAAATTGCAAATGTTTCAAATAGCTGCAAATGTAAACCGCACCAGATGTCCATTGCCACAAACAAAAAATTTGACTTGAACAAAAATTGCATGTAAAGTCCACTTTCAATGGAAGTCTATGGGACAAGGCAGTAACAAGAAGCGAGTACGTGATTTTATCAATCTAGTTTTATGTTAACATGTATAATGTTTAATAGTAGTTGCTGAACATTAGTAACAGTGTGTATTTTAATGTTCATGTCAGTGCAATGTCTTGCCCCGTAGATTTCCAATGTAAATGTGACTTGCTTATTTTTTCAAACTGACAGTGTCAAAATTATTTTCTGTGGCTAATCGACTGATGCTGTCCATAGATTTTGTATTTAACCCGGAACATTCCTTCAATAATAAAAGTATACAACTGCATAGTTTATACTTGACTGTGATTTCCAGAGAATTTGAAACAAATGTAAACTTATTCACCCCAATGGGAACAAAGTAATTTCCGGGAAACAGTAGGCAATATTATTTGGGCTATTTACAGCACTCACACACTCAGATGATATTACATAACTACTGGAGGTTTTTTTTTCCTGCCATGAACATTTCTCTAAGGGTACGTTTACACGACAACGATATGCTTAAAATGAAGAGGTTTTTCCTTGTACAGACGACACCATTGTCAAAACGATCCCTATTTACACGGATCCACGAAAACGCTGTATTCTGCTGCCAGGCCAGAAGATGGCGATGAAACACTATAGACTTAACACGTAATACGCATGTGCATGATGTCATCGTCTTCAGAGATTCACGTTTTTGTTGTTTACACGCAGCTCTTGCACTTTGAAACCCGTTTTCAAAAGTTCGCAAAACGCCGTTGTCATGTAAACGAACGGCCAAAACGCATTAAATAAACCATGTTTTTAACGTTTTTAAGTTGAAAACGGTGTCGTGTAAATAGTCCCTAAGAGAAGGTTGTTGTTTGGCACGGACAATTGAAGGTACACTGTATGGACAAAATTATTGGGACACACCTCTTATTGAGCCATGCAGTCTGCATTTACAAACATTTGTGGGGAAAAAAGGGTAATTCTGAAGGGATCAGTGAATTTAAGTGTGGTGCTGTGATAGGATGCCATGTTTGCAATAAGTCGGTTCGTGAAATTTCATCTTTGCTAGATAGTCCACAGTTAACAGTTCGTGATATTATTGAAACTGGAAGCGCTTAGCAATGGCAGCAACTTCCACAAAACAGAAAACCGCATAAAGTCACAGAGCGAACCGGTCACTGAGTGCTGAGGAGCACACTGTGTAAAATCACCAATGCTCTGCTGATTCCATAGATGATGAGTTCCAAACTTCCACTGAAATATTAAGTGTATTTCAGTTATCTTTAGTCAGATGCACTATTGTTCGTAGCAGGTATAAAGTTCTGTTCCACAGAATCTTTAAAGTCTGACGCTAACATTTCTGCGAAATAATTACTACACTACTACCTTTAATAAATTCTTCTCCCCACAAGAACTTGGGTCAAGCTTGCTTATTTCTCTAATACATTGGCGAGCCAGCCAAACTACTGCTCAGCCAAATACAGCTAAATCTAAGACCCCTGGCATCAATATCAGCACAAAAACTGTGCGGCGGGAGCTTCGTGGAATGGGTTTCCATGAACCAAAGCTGCATGGAAGCCTCACATCATCAAGTCCAATGTCAAGCGTCGGATGGAGTGGTGTAAAGCACGCCGCCACTGGTCTCTGAAGCAGTGGAAACGTGTTCTGTGGAGTGATGAATCACACTTCTCTGATGGCGAGTCTGGGTTTGGCAGATCCCAGGAGAAAGTAACCTGTCAAACTGCATTGTACCAACTGTCAAGTTTGTTGGAGGCGAGGGATAAAGGTACGGGGCTGTTTTTCAGTGGTTGGTCTATAGGCCACTTACTTCCAGTGCTTCAGCATACTGTTGTGAAGAAAAGTCATCTCTTTCTTGCAAATTAAGCTCAAGAGGAAGAGTTCCAGAAGTCAAAATTCAGTTCAGACTTTATTGAACAAAGCCGAGATGCCTGCAGGACATCTGAACTTGGCATCTCTGGCCAGGCACTATTTTTATACATTTTTCTTATCGGTTATTTCACAATAACCAAGTGACTTAATTTTCTGGTAAGATTCACCCCTACTGTTTCCCACAATTAAGTTTTACTTCCCTCGCCTTTCTCTCTAATTGTGGAATCATGCCAATTGATTGGTCAACCCTTTCTCAGAGGCAAGATGTAACATTTTCCAAGGACAATCAACTCTTTCCCAGAGGCAAGAAGCCTCCAAGGGACAGTTTTATTTCACACCTCTTAATAATGGTCTCATTCCTTCACGGCTAGTTCTACAATTGTTTTCTATAGGATGAATAAATATTTCATCAATACCAAGACATTTTGGACAATGCTTCCAACTTTGGGAACAGTTTAGGGAAGGCCCTGTTCTATTCCAGCATGGCTGTGCCTCAGTGCACAAAGCAAAGTCTATAAAGACATGGTTGGATGGGTTTGGTGTGGAAGATCTTGACTGGCCCACACAAAGCCCTGACCTCAACCCCATCGAACACCTTAAGGTGAACTTGAACAGAGGTTGCGAGCCAGGCCTTCTTGTCCATCATCAGTGCCTGACCTCACAAGTGCTCTACTGGATGAATGGGGGAAAAATTCATACAGAAAGACTCCAAAATCATGTGGAAAGCCTTCCCAGGAGTGGAAGCTGTTATAGCTGCAAAGAGGGGACCAACTCCATACTAATGTCTATAGAGAATGTGATGCCATTACAGCCCCTGTTAGTGTAATGTTCAGATGTTACAATCTATCCATCCACCTGTTCGTTCCATCCATCCACCTGTTCGTTCCATCCATCCATCCATCCATCCATCCATCCATCCATCCATCCATCCATCCATCCATCCATCCACCTGTTCGTTCCATCCATCCATCCATCCACCCACCCACCCAACCACCCATCCATCCATCCATCCAATCTTTAAAATTTTGTCTTGAACTTTCATTTTTGCGGTAGCTCTGTATATTTCTATGACATCGCTTTTGAAGAGTAATTAGCTGGTGAAGTGGATTTACTTATTGTAGACTTAACGAAAGTTATCATGGGCTCTGTAATGTTTGAAGCGGATGTCATTACAAATCACTAGATTAGAAGAGCGGTTCATTCATAAATCCATAAGATCTTACCTTCATGCTGTGGAAATACAAACCGGAACACAGAACACAACGAGCGCAGAGCTGAAAAGGGGCGGGGATACATAATGTCTATAGTATACCTCTATTAACCACATGAGTACAATTACATTAAGTATGTACAAGTTTGTAAGTTAAGTATGCATGACAGGACAGCACACTTGGTATGCATTGGCTAATCAGTTGCATCTGCATTCTTGTATATAGTATGTTTCTGGCCTTATTCATAAGAATTACTAAAGATATTAAAAGGGAACTTTTCACTTCTATGTTTAGAAGAATAAATGTTTTTGTTCCCCCATTGTGACATTATAATCTTGACATTTAAGCACACTTTCTCCAACAATCCTCATTAAAGTGTCCAGACTTTTTCAAACTTTGGGATTCCCAATGATTGTTCTCAGACTCGTTATTAATTTTTTATTCCATAAACATGATTCTAGCACAATGATTTTTTTAAACTAGCAAATTAAATAATTTAACAATATAACAATATAACCTTATTAAGTTCATACACACAGATGAGTAAATCATAATGTAGGCTACTAAAAAGAGGTGTTGTGTTCTTTCAGCAAAATATATTTCCTTTTTCTTTCTTTATTTGATTTTGGTGTAAAACATGAGCCTGGTATGTTTTTGAGAGGTTATGTGATATTCATCCAATTAGGTTCTTATATCAATATTGTTATGTTGTAACATACAAAATGGGTCTAGACACTTTAGATATATTTATCATAAATCTTCACAGTTCATTACCAGAAATGATCTTTGCACAGTGTGTTAAACATGTTGGGAACCCACACACCGCCTGGCCCAGAATCTACATTAGACCAGCCATAAGGAGAACTGCTGTAAGTGAGAAATCATTCATCGCACTGCGTAAATTGTATAAATGATCTTTTTCATATTTCATGAAGCGTGACATTATGACCATTAAGTGTTTTCTATTGAGTCTGGCTGTGAACCTTTGGTTGCCAGGCAACATCATTTCAAAGGTATGCTGTACGTGGCTTCACCAGTGATGTGTCTGACCATAATCGAGATATATTTCTGATGGTTGAGAGGCCCACATGAACATTTGTGTGAAACCTAAAACAGCATTTCAAAAACCTTTTTTTAAACTCATAAATTTATAAAGAAAAAAGTACAGGTGATAAAATAGTTCTTTATGGGGCTCCTGTATTTTATTGCCGTTGACAACCACACTTTGAGGACAATAAGAGAGGAAATCTTTTATCCACCAAATGAGTCTGTACATGTTCAGCAACTTAATTAAACACAGGTAATGTTAACACTTAACACTGCGTCATCAGTATTTTTTTGTAAGTACATTGCAATGGATCTAAATCATTACTCACAGTATTTATCAGATGCCTCATATTACCCATTTCAATGCATTTTCACAGTATAGACGTTTCTATTTTTTTTATTTATTTTTTTATGAAAACGGTAGTGGATACTTTCCTTAAGTTTAGTACTGTTCTTGTTATTAAACAAACCCCAGTCAATTTAAAAATACAAACTTTCAGTACACACTCATTCAGCCAATCAGGTCTCATTTTCTTTAAGGATTATATTGTCATATGAAGGAATTTTAGAGCACACTCTATTGCTGTCCGTCTGTCTGTCTTTCTGTCCATACAACCAACCAACCATCCATCCATCTATCCAAGCATCCATCCATCCATCCAACCAACCATCCATCCATCCATACAAACAACCAACCAACCAACCAACCATCTATCTATCCAACCAACCAACCATCCATCCATCCATCATGCAACCAACCAACAAACATCCATCTG